GAAGAGGGAGAGGAACTAGAGATCAAATTGCCAGCATACGCTGGATCATGGAGAAAGCTAGGGAGTTCCAGAAAAACATCTACTTCTGCTTCATTGACTATGCTAAAGCCTTTGATTGTGTGGATCACAGCAAATTGTGACAAGTTCTTCAAGAGGTGGGAGTGCCAGACCATCTTATTTGTTTCTTGAGAAACCTATATGTGGGTCAAGAAGCAACAGTGAGAACTGGACACGGAACCACTGATTGGTTCAAAATTGAGAAAGGAGTTCGGCAAGGCTGTATACTGTCGCCCTGTCTAGTTAACTTACATGCAGAGCACATCATGAAAAAGGCAGGGCTAGATGAATCACCAGTTGGAATTAAGATTGCTGGGAGAAATATCAACAATCTCAGATATGCAGATGATACCATTCTCATGGCAGAAAGTGAAGAGGAACTAAGGAGCCTCTTGATGCAGGTGGAGGAGGAGAGTACAAAGGTTGGCTTGAAATGCAACATTAAGAAAACCAAGATCATGGCATCCGGTCCACTCACTTCCTGGCAAATAGATGGGGACGAAATGGAGGTAGTGATAGATTTTATTTTCCTGGGGTCCAAGATCACCGCAGATGGGGACTGCAGCCAAGAAATTAAAAGACGCTTGCTCCTGGGGAGGAAAGCTATGGCAAATCTAGACAGCATACTAAAAAGCAGAGACATCACCCTGCCAGCAGAAGTGTGTATAGTCAAGGCTATGATTTTCCCAGTTGCAATGTATGGCTGTGAAAGCTGGACCATAAGGAAGGCTGAGCGCAAAAAGATTGAGGCTTTTGAATTGTGGTGCTGGAGGAGACTCCTGCAAGTCCCTTGGACCGCAAGGCGATCAAACCGGTCAGTCCTAGAGGAGATCAACCCTGACTGCTCTTTAGAAGGCCAGATACTGAAGATGAAACTCAAATACTTTGGCCAGCTAATGAGAAGAAAGGACTCCCTGGAGAAGAGTCTAATGTTGGGAATAATAGATGGCAAAAGAAGGAGGGGACGGCAGAGGATGAGGTGGCTAGATGGAGTCATGAAGCAGTTGGTGCGAGCTTAAGTGGACTCCGGGAGATGGCAGAGGACAGGAAGGCCTGGAGGAATGTTGTCCATGGGGTCGCGATGGGTCGGACACGACTTCGCAACTAACAACAACAACAAATATAATAGCTTCCCTATGAAGTTTGCTTATATTTAACAAAGCATGAGTACAAAGCATGAATAAATGCACTGCTTTTAGGATACATAACCGAAGAAAAATTATGTATCTTAAATTAAGAGTTTCAGTCACTTTCTGCACTGTTTATCATTTCCATTCCAAGTTAAGAAATACAGGCTTCAAAACAACTAATTGAACATCCTACTATGCTAAAGGATGGATGTTGGTCTGTGGGCATTGGCTGGGGAACTTGGGCACAAGGATGCTCTTATTTATTTATTGGATTTATATCCTGTGCCATTATTCAGGAAGGTTCTCTTTCTCTTGTACTCATGTCCTGTTTCTGGGATCCCATGGGCAACTGGTTGGCCACTGAGCAGAATGCTGGACTAGATGGACCCCTGGTCTGTCCCAGCATGTCTTCTCTTATGTAGTTACATAAAGCAAACAGTAATTACATTATTAGTTTTCCTTCAATTTGTTTTGGAAAACATTAGCTGTAGAGGACAAATTCACTATTGTAAGTCTGGTCCAGACCTAGCTTATAGCCAGTCGGACAGGAAGAGTTTATCATGCCTTCATTTTTAGCTTCCCCATGGGCAGCTGAGCACTAGCGTTCATCAGTGCTTGTCACAGGAAGTACATATCATTGGTTGATCCCATTTAACATTATTGCAGTAGAAAAGCCCAAACAACTATGGATTAACTCAAGCATATATGGTGTGGAATTTTTTTTTTTAAAAGCCATTGGAAAATTTTCCACCCCACATCACCGAGAGCCACAGTTCTTCTATACTCTGCAAAACAGTTTGCAGAATATAGAAGTTTTAATATTTTTATTGTATAATTTGTTCTTGCTGTAAGCCGCCCCAAGGCTTTGTTGCGATGGGGGCGGCATAGAAATGTTTTGAATGAATGAATGAATGAATGAATGAATGAATGAATGAATAAAACAATCCTTTTCCAAAATTAAATGTATTTTGGTTGAGGAAACATTATTTTCAATTTGCTTTCAAACAATGCTTTAAAATCAGTGTTTTTAGAATTGGTTTCTGTGCCTTCTTTACTGTGGCTTTAATTATATCACCTTAATAGGTTTGTATTTGTATACAGGCTCTAAACGCAATTATTTTATGGCCTCTATATACTGTACCATCTGAGAGGTCAGTTTAGGATTCCTAGCCCTAGAGCTCAGAATTGGAGTTTCAGCTGCTTTTGGAGGTCAATTAAGCAACATTAGAGAAGGGTCAAGGGGACTATTTCAAAAGAAGTGGAAGAGACTGGACCATCCAGGAAACAAGGCATCCTGAATCCTCTCTAGCCTCCTTGCCTCTCTCTCTGAGACTTGAGTGGCGGCCTCCAAGGTTGAGGGCTCACACTGATCTCCATAGGATTGTACCTTAACCGCTTTTTGATAAAGAATGGTATATAAAAACTATAAATAAATAAATAAATAGTATGTTCAGTTTAGCACATGTGGTGGTATGATCCTTACCTGTGCCTATAGGCACAAAAGAACAAGACTGTGCTATAACTCAGCTCATGTGTAAGCTGTATGTTGCAGTTTATGGTTTGGAATCTGCTGTGTAATAAACTTAACTGTCAGTGAAATCCTATACATGGTAATTCAGAAGTTCAGTGGGACTTAATCCATAGCAAGTGTGTTTAGAATTACAGTCTGTATGGATTACATGTGGCCTCTGAGGTAGTGTTGAGACTTGCAGGGGTTTTTTTTAAAATCCTGAAAATTTTCCTTTTTTTGTTCCACTCCTAATGGCAGTTTAAGGTCCTAAAAGCTCAAAGCTAGAGGTATAGCTTAAGTTGATACCAGAATTATTAAGTCTCTAAAGGCTATTATATACTTTTGAGGTTGATTTGCATATTTGGAATTACTAGTAAAAGTTTTGTTATACCATAATATAGATATGTAGCATAATTTAAATTTGCCTGTGGTGTCATGAGAACATTTTTGCTGGAGAATAAAAGCTCTATTTGCTAAGCTTTAACATAAGTTGATACCTGCGTATAGGTATATCCATAATATTTAAAGGCTATTAGGATTCCATTCCATTTCCTTTTATGATTTTTGTGTCTAAAACAGGTTTACGAATGGGAAGGCAAGTGTTCCACTGCAAGCTGGTAGTTTCTTTGCTGCCTTCACTGTTTTCCAAGCTTAGAGCTGTTTTGCCAAGTCACCTCATTCACATAGCACCCAGATCAATTGATGTCCCCACCTCCTCTTTTCTGTTTCAAACCTGGAACTGGGTTGTGGTGCAGAACAAAGTGCAGGATGAGGAGAGTGACAACGGGAAGAGTCCTGCAGCCACAGTTTTTGGTTTGGTGTCCAAAGGTCATGCAAAAGTTTTGGGTCCCTGGTCAGATAAGCGTGTGTGTGTGTGGTGCTGAAAAGAATATATATGTAGGGTTCCCTTTCTTGGCCAGTAGCAAATCCAGCGCGAAATTACTCACAGGATAGAATCCAACATTGCAGAAGTTGAAGCCTGCTCTGTAGTGTGCTGAACGCCCATTTCTAATGAATTGTGGGTTTAATTATCATTAAATCAAAGCCAGTCAGCTTACATAAGATTCCCAAGGTCAGAATAAAGTCATAAGATGTACATGCCAGAAATCTAAGAACAGTTGCAGTTAACAGTTAATTTCAAACCCTTATATAATGATTTTAGGATGGATATGGTGGGAGAAGATATTGGAATAATAATTTTTAATCTTAGGTGATTTTATGGGCTTGAGTTATAGTAGTGCTGGAATTGCATAGTGCTGCAGATAGTACTGAAGCTCTGAATTTCTTGAGCAAGTTTTTCACATTGCTTTTCAAATGTTCAGGTTTCACATAATTGTGATTTTGTTTGAAGATTACATATTTAAGGATATGGTCAGTTCTTGTTTGTGAAATAAACATCCAAGCAAGGTTTTTAAACTTATCAAGAATACTAAGGTGCTGTTTATACTTTCTGAATAATGCAATTCATTGTCATAGTTGACAGTTCATTGTATGACTTTGTAAATTTAGGAAGTGTAGGAAAAGTCTTCCTCCCTGAAAAAAAAGAAAAAAATTGCACATTTTACTTGCAATTTTCTTTTTTCTATTTTCTTGTGTTTTCTTAATTCTGTTAACCAGGCCTACTAATTGGTTCTGAGTAAAGGGACCCTGCATATATAGTACTTCATTGGGAATTGCTTTTCCCATTCTTTTCCTAAGAAGAACCCAGTTTCCACACACCATTTTCTGTATATCTGTATTCCTTTCTGTTGAAATGAATGGGAATTGATTCTTAGAAAAGATCTCTGGATGAGGTTTGTCAGGTATTGTGGAAGGAATGATTGAAAATTATGTTAGGAAATCTCTAACAACTTAATTGCAACTGTTCTTCATTGGTTCACCCTTTTGGGAAATACCTCTTTTCTTAGTTGATTTCCTGCAAGGTGTTCTAATAAAGGAAATACATATACTAACATTCTTTTATTTCCAGAGTGTAATTTTTGTCTTGTACATACCATTTTCAGTCCAGTGATTCATAGAAATGTCAAACTTTGTTTTGCAGTGATGAATATGAGCTTTGAGAGGGGAAGTGCTATATCAAATACCTCCCACTCTCAAAATTATGTTGGTCTGTGTTTTAAGTGACTTGTCTATAAAGAGGTTTGAAGTAAATAAACCATGCTATGTGAGCTTATGCAATTCAAATTAAGTTCATTGAATGAATCCAAAGGAATCTTCTTATTTTAAAAAAATGTTTAAAAACAAGTGCTGGCTTTTATTTCCTAGTGTGACTGTGAAATACTTTGGAAAAGCTGCTCATGCTGCTGCTTACCCTTGGGAAGGAGTAAATGCATTAGATGCTGCTGTTCTTGCATACAACAATCTGTCACTTTTAAGACAGCAAATGAAACCAACCTGGAGAGTTCATGGTGAGATCTTCATTAAATCTTATGTCCAGCAAGTAATACTTCAGACAGTGTTTAAGCAAATATTTTATATCTGGCATGTTAATGTTAAGATATAAATGACTGTTCGTGTGTTTTTCTGACAAACTGGCAATATCTTGGTAAAGTAGGACCTGTACCCATTCGTTGAAGATTCATATATTTAACCCTAACCTTAGCCCTAAAGTATGCTAAGCTTAATTACTGAGGATTCATTGAAATAGTGGCTAGTGTTGAGATTAACATTATTATTAATTCCATCTTAAAAGTCCAGATCCTTATATCCTGCCATCTGTATATACTTAGGGAAGCTTTTGCTTGGTTATATACACCTATATAAGATGTAGGTAGCACTTGGCTACCCCTGAAGCAGGTTTCCTCCCACTTTTCCCTTTGGATCAGCTAGTTCAGGGGTTCCCAACCTGGGGTGCCTGCAAGACAGCATTTCAGGGAATGCAACAAAGAGGAAGGTTGCATTACAATTCCCCAAAATTTGGCAACATTTTCCACCAAAAATTATCTCAATAATAAAATTATGTATTATTGTTCTGTTTGCATTTGGATTCAGTTCTCTTTTGTCCATCAAGACAAAATCTAGGAATCACCTGAATTCACAGACAGACTTGTGGAATGCAATCAGCAAGAAAATTCCATGTTTTGACAAAATTGTGAATGAGAAGCAGAAATGAAGTAACTGAATGTTATGTTCATAATTGGGATTGATTTTACTGCTTACATTTTTTTTTTCTAATTGCTTGATTTATATGTGAATTTTACACACTGAGTTAAAAGCTTATTTTTTAGTTCAGTTTGTTCACCCGCAGTACTGTGGTTCTGGTTCAATTGTGGTTCAAAAATTAGAAATTTGATTACTTCTTCAAATGTGATATTACTTTTGTAGGGGATACAAACATAAATCAAACATTTTCTAGGGGGGTGGGGCATATAAAAGGTTGGGAACCACTGAACTAGACTATGGATGTAAGACCTTCCTTTCCAGTGCAAGGGTCACAGTCATGTAATTAATCATTGGCTGCATAAAACCCAACAATCCCACTTCTGAGACTGTTTCAGTAGTAGTGGTACAGAACTAATTATCTCAGTGGAAATCACTGAGACACTAGGGAGGTTTTCGACTCTACTATCCTCATAGCAATCGCAAGATCTCTGTGGGCGCAGAGGAGAAGTTTAAACCTCCCCATCATGATATACTGAGATGTTTGCAAATGTAAGTATGTAGCTTTCGATCCCCCAACCAACAGGGACAACATTGTTGCATGCCCATGATGTAGGCTTTATGTGTTTTCCATACTCTGTTGTAAGGCTTGAATACTTCCAAAAAGCTTGGTGAAGTAAAATACTTTACATGTTCTACACTTCCTACAACCAGTACATTTTATTGGTAAAGTTCTGGTATAGGTAATGATTCCATAATTAAATGCTCTCCCATTTGAAAAGTCCTTGCACTTAAAGCTATAAAGGGTGAAATGCTAACCTTACCTTTCTACTAAGTGCATGTTCTCTATACATACAGATTTGGCAGAGAGGTGTAGCATTCTAACATAAAATATACTTTAAATTTGTACTAGGCCATAGTGATATGGGCATAACTGTAGAAAAACCCACATTCTAATGTTAAGTTTTGCCATCTAATATGCAACAGTTTGTTTCAGTAAACTAGCCTTAAAAAGTTAGTTTCTTAGCTTTACTGAAGATAGTAAGTATTGAAAAAGTGTGCTTTCAACTACATGATCGTATAATGATTTAATGCAGAGGTGCTTAGAATTGAACCTTACAAAATCTATTTTGTTTCTTACTAGAACCCTGGGATCCACTGACGGGATCTTGGTGCAAAAGATATACTTTACAATTTAAGATGTCTCAGTCCATTTATTCAATTTGCATACCAGAACTGAACAGTGCTCATAGTCATGCTACATACACATCTTCTCTTACCTCCTCCCAGGCTTTCTTCATTGCAGCACCTTAATTCATTGTTTATGTTATGGGTACTGTTGGTATATGATTGCTACTGTAAATCATTCCAGATCTACTGACTGCTCAGTGTAGTATAAATAGACCAGTTCAAGTGTGTACATTTACCTAAATTCATTTTTATCTTAAGGGTGCAATGCATGAGATGAAGTGTTACAGCTGGATCATGCAACATTTCAATTGTTCTGGCCTTTGTGAAATAGTATGGATTAATTCTAAACAAATTATCTCTAGTGTGTAGGACATGCTTGTCTGCAAACTATTCTGGATTGCAGAAATATTTTAAACTTTAATTTCTGTGAACTATATGAGGGATACTGTGGGATGTGCTTCTCCATGGGTGTCATCTCTCTGATAAAGACCTACAAGATTGGGTCTCCTACCTGAAGATTGTTGAGCTTTGTGCTATTGTTGTGGAAAGAACCCCCCATGCTGCTTAATCTAGGGTTTATACATTACCATTCTGTTTGGTTTTTCAGTTCTATTAGGAGGCTCATATGATTAGTTTTGCTAATCATTTACATTTTTTCTGTCACATTAATCCAAATATATTTGGCAGACTTTCTTAACTTCCCAGTTAGTGTTTAAATATAGCTGTTGAGTAAAGGCTACAAATGAAGTGAGATGTTTATCCTTTTGTTTTTGTTTTTTAATCCTGCTTTCTCCTAATAGCTTCCATAATGCTAAAGAAAATGATAAAAAATGGGCTCAGTGTATGTCCTCAAATCATAATAGAAAACTTTTGTAAACTACGTAAGAACTGGAATAAATAAGAACAGCTTTCACTTACATAGTACAACACATACCTTTTCAACTTAGAGTGCTCAGTCCAATCCAGTCAATGATTAGTTATATCATTTTGATTCTGTTACTAATGACTTGTGGTCATTTGCTGATTTGCAGGATTTTATGGTTAAAATAGTGATTTATAGTAGAAAAACATCTCCCAAACTGTCGGTCAGGATTTAATTTCTGGATATTGCATAAAGCATCTCTTTAGTGGAAGATTTTCTCCACTGATGAACAAAATTATAAAAGATCATAGATAATCTTTCATCTAATTATCTTGTTTTAAGATTGCTCTTCAGGATCTTTCTTGCTTTGTACTAACTAGTTTTGCACTTCTTTCCATTCAGTTGCTTTCCTCTGAAGTGTTCACTTTGTAGTCATACTATTAAATGCAAATAACACAAATGGAAAATGGTGAGGCAATGTTAATCCATACTGATGTTAAAAAATTAAGAAAGGAAAGGGGATGCTTTTCAGGGTGGATATGATTTAAATTATATCAATTTAAGTAAGACTAGATTTCACTCATGGTTTTGCATGCATGAATGCCTTACCCATGGGTAGAGGAACTTGATTAAAATATTCACAAACTAGGTCTCTTTTATGGCCTGCTGCCATTATAGGTTTTCTCCTCCAGAGAAAAAAATAATATGATAAGCCTCAGGCTATACACAAAAATATCCAAAGACTTGTGGAGTATGCTGCTCAGAAGATTTCATGTTCATTTTTTACTGCTTGCCCCTTTCCTACACACGACATCTTAGTCCATCCCAACAATCCTCTTCTGTTCATTGAATTTTTTGAAACTTAACACTGAAGAGGTAAGGGGCTGCTTGTGTGTACATAAATATACAAAAGAACAATGGGATTAAGGTCTTTTTAAAACTGTTTATTTTATAACGTTTTTGCTTGGAAGAAGCAGCATGTGATCTCTGCAGAGAGAGTCACAGTTGTGAGAACAGTAAAACCAACCATCTGTTAATAATACCTTCTAGATAGAAAAATTATCCAATAATTTTACAGAAGCCTCTGGAAGAACAAGACATTGTGAATGGATTAATGGGATTCAGTTACCAAAAAATTTAAACATTGCATGAATGTACAGCTTCATGCTACATAATTAAAAACTAAACCTTATGTCATGAGGAATAAATTTTTGACCATAATGGATCTTAAATAGAAAACTATCTTTAGATAGATTTTTCCTCAGTCAGCTTTTTATTTTAAAAAAATCCAATTTAAATAAAAATGTATGTTTTACATTTTCAATCATTGATTTTTATCCACCCTGATGCTTTTCCACATCCTCATTTCAGTGTCTGTGGTTAATATGGCTGAATGCATTTTGTGCACATGGTGGCAAACCAAATGTCCATAGGATTGCTCAAGCAGGATGAGTACAAGATCTCTACTTGTCCAAGCACTTCAGCAGCTGATGTATGCAGGCATGCCACCTCTGGTGAAGGAGGTAGCAGCATAGTTAGTATCCACTGATAGCCTCTTTCCCCATGAATCTGTCCATTCTCCTTTTAAAGCAACCCAGATTTGTGACCACCTCCACACTTTAACTATATGCTGTGTGCAGAAATATTTCCTTTCATCTGTCCTAAACCTCCCAGCAATCAGCTGCATGGGATGACCCCATGATCCAGTGGTGTGGGAGTGGGAGAAAAAAGTTTGCCTTTTTCACAGTGGCTGCACTGGGCCAACTGCAAGCTGTCCACCACTACCCCAGTCAGCATATACTTACAGTTAGAATTTTTTGCCCCAACAGGCATTACTTTACACATACTTACATTGAACTGCTTTTGTTATTTTGATGCCCATTCTCCCAGCTTGTAGAGATTCCTTTGGAACTTCTCACAATCCCTTATGATTTGACCATTCTAAATAGTTTGGTGTCATCAGCAAACTTGGGCACTTCACTACTTACTCCTAATTCCAGATCCTTTATGAATATGTTGAAAGCATTGGCCCTAATACAGAACCCTGGGGGACTCCAATGGTTCTGCATTGGGAGAAGTTGCCATTTATTCCCATTTTCTGTCTTCTGTCTTTTAAGCAATTAACGATCCATTAAAGGACTTCTTCTTTTATTCCCTGGCTACTTTGTTTGCTCAGAGCTGTTGGTGAGGGACTTTGTCAAAAGTCTTTTGGAAGGCCAAGTAAACATTATCTTCTTGATTGACCCTGTCAATGTGCTTATTGACATTCTCAAAGAACTCTAATAGGTTAGAAAGACAAGACTTCTGCTTTTGGAAGCCATGCTGATTTTCTCATTGGGGCATGTCCCTCTATGTGCTTACTAATTCTATATTTAATAATGCTTTCAATAGGCATTCTCAGCTGTATGATCTTGTGGAAAACTATCATACACACACAAAACACAATGTACACTGAATCTTAAGATCTGATTCAGAACATGCAACTATGCAACTTCCTTAGCACAATCTTCAGAATGACTGGTCAGGTGAGGAAGTATTGTCCACAGGTAATACCAAAGCATATCTTCTCTTGATAACATTGATTACAAATGGCTTATTTGGAGACTTATTTAAAAGGCATTGTCTCTAAAATATCTTTTCTACAAGATAAACAGCCTCTGAGAGTCTTTAGTGCTGCTACAAAATCAGCTGGTATAACAAAACTTTCTACAAGCCAATAAAGTCTTGCATTGTTGTTATATGCATGTGTTGTGCACAATTTGTGTGTCATATATGACCACTAAACAGTTTATATTGAGGTTCCTTTTGGTTTCCAATATGATCCCATTTGTTAATTTGTTAAACTTTCCCTCAGCATTTAGATTTTTATGTTTATTTTATTATATGGCTGTGAAAGCTAATATCTTGTTCATACATAATGACAACTTAGAGTGGATTGTTATTGAATCATGGTTTGCCATTTATATGCGATTCCTGTAATTTGGTTTAACTGTGGTTCTTAACCATGAGCAACACAACTCAACAGCCAACTATGAGTTTTTTCTTGCACTGTTCATGCAGGAAAAACTACTTTTAATTAAACCATAATGCCTAATTTGCAGGCGACACCCATGTTTCAGTGGCAGGGTGAATTTGACCCTTAGCCCATTGGATTGTTACATACAAACCAAGCTAAAGTCTTCTGCAAAGCAGCTAAAACATTTGGGTCAAGCAGTTATATAAGTGACTTGGCAATTTATATCTTTAACAAATTGTTAGTGTTTGTATAATAGAGTATATTTATTATGATTGACTTTCTTGCTGTTGTGAGAATAGTGTCATCTTGAGAAGAGTCCAAGTTAGCTCATGCAGCCAGCACTGGAAAATATAGCACTGCTTACTGTCCAGTGAACTAGCCACTGCCCATTTGTTACAGATGAGGAATTGCCCAGCACAATGATAACAGCATTACTGGTTGTACAGAACTACCTAAGAACGGGGTTGTGTTGGAATATCAGCTTGCTGCTTATTTTCATCTTCCTTGTTCATATATGGTAATAGCATACATAAGATGGCATTTCAGAACTCATTGTTCTGCATTTTTAAGGTTGGTCATTCAACAAAGCAAGCTGGGTTGTGCAAAGCAGCCACTTTTCCTTTTGGGGTCTGTCTTGATAGTTAACATTCATTCTGCTCAAATAATGTCCTGATACATTGGCATGGGTTTTGGATGCCTTAGGCCTAGGCACCATACTTTGAGTGATGAGAGTCTTGTAGTTATTCAAATCATCTTAAAACAAAGAGGCTTTTCTTCTCAGAACTTGTCCAGGAAGGAGTCTTTGAGTACACTTGGTCAAATAGGACTCTATGCAGGAAATAATTTATTTCAAGATAGAAATATGGTCTCCCCTTTATTTTGTGCTGAAAACCCATACCAAAAACGAAATTATTTGCCTTAAACAAGGGGTATTCCAAAAACAGGAAAATTAACATTCAGAATTTTATCAGAATTAATATTGCCATGATTTATCACAAGAAGATTCAGTATGCATTTAGAGATGGTCAGATGTTCTGGATGTGCTGTTAGGAGGAAAAAAACATGTAGTGGCTGTTTTTCTGCAAGTATTAGCTAAAATTAATAGAATTTGTGTATGTGCTTTGATACCTCAGATCGAAAGTTCCTATCTTCAAAGATAAGTAATTCTCATGATTTCTATGAAATAGTTTGATCATATACAAAATCTGTCAAGTTTCAGTGTTTTGTTCCTAATTCTGGATTGCATACAGTTATCTTGATACTCTAAAAGCTTTGATTACAGAAATACTATAGTTCTGTAATGGTGTCCTTTTAGTTTTTCATGAAATTATAGAGAAATCAGCTAAATAACAAAATTCTTTTTTTATAATAACTGTTAAAAATGCAATATGGAAATGGACCAGAACAAGATATCCTCTTCTGTTTTAAGGCTCTTTTTTGAGAACAACTGTAGTTTTCACTAAGCTATTGTGTATTAGAACATGATCAGTAGAAATACAAACAGAAAAGCTACATTTGCTTTTCCTTATCTTCATGGGTCTGAAACATTTGTACCATTTGACTTGAACATTGGACACTAGTGCCCAACTCAATTTCACACAAACCTTCTTGTAACAAAATGCTTTTCAAGGTTTGAAAAAGGATAGAGGGGCCCATAGTTAATGTTCTGTTTTCCGGAGTCATAACAGAGTTACTGTTGTATAATTATTTTCTCCTGATGAATACACAGGGAAAGCGTGTAGTATAACAATACTTGCTACTAAAAATTGGCACCATTTATGATTTTGAAATATTTTCATTCTTTACTCTGTTCATTAGCTTATGGGTATAAGGTATTAGGTAAATAATTTACCCTGCCATGTAATATTAATATATTATGCAGCAGAAATGGGGTGGGAAAGAAATGTAAGGATGTATACATTTAGAAACTGATGCCTAATTTGGTTAAGTATGGCATAAGCATCATTTAAAATAGTTCAGTTTTAATTCAAACTTGAATCTCCCACCAAGTCTTAGCATGTGAAGAGGATGGTTTTATGCTTTGCTTTTTCCTTTGGTAAATATAGTCAGCTTCTATGTTACTGATGACTTGTTACCTAATGTCCCTTGTTCCAGTGGTGGCACAATTTATTCAAGTCAAGGGCAACAGAAAAATATGAATGGAGATCTAACTTTGCATTTTTAATTGAAATGTAGTACATTTTCCAGGGATACAGGTTATTTCCATCTTTAAATAGAAAAGAATTGGACCCATACATAAACTGCTATGGCTTTTCCATTTACCTGTTTTTCCAAAAGCTTCAGAAAACCCAGTATGCCAGAGACTAACATAGTTATTCTCTTTTATAGGTATAATAAAGAATGGTGGTGTGAAACCTAATATCATCCCTTTTTATGCTGAATTAGAATTTTACCTCCGTACTCCTTCATTAAGGGAACTCTCCATCCTGACAGAAAAAGCAGAAAACTGTTTTAAAGCTGCAGCTTTGGCTACAGGGTGTGAAGTAAGATTCTGAAAGGTTGATCAAGATTCTGTTTTAAGATGTAATGTGAGATAATTTTTCAAGGAAATTAAGTAGATGTCATTTTGACCAATATATTCAGGACACATTAAAACAATTGAATTCAGAGAAGTATAACAATTAAATGTTAATGTATCCTTTCTGTCAGCCTCTCAAAATAATTGTAGTTCTGAACTGATCAGATCCTTGTTCATGCTGAATTCTTATCTTGTCATAGCTGATATTTTGAACATAACTGGCCAAAAGGTGTTTTATAAATATTTTAATAAATGTCATCAGGTTTGTCAAAAGTCATTAGAAGTACTAACATACCCAAGTGAAAGCCAAATTTTACATGTTTCCAAATCCACAAAAGTTCAACATTAGACTACATGTCATTGTCACTGAACATTTTCTTAGTATTTTTTCCTCTTTGATAGATTTCTGAGGAAATTTTTTCCCATAAAGAATGCACAAAGGAGACAAAAGGGATTAACACATTGCTCTTAAGGTCTCTATTTAGAATTAAGCCCCACTAGGTTCCGAGTAACTTAATTTTCCACGTTTTTAGGGTTAGTAAATTTTTTAGGAAGTGGCTTTTGGCATTTGAAATGGAAAGTCTGCTCCTACATTTCTATTGATAATGATTTATAAAAATGACTGCCTTGATTAACAGGAGGAAAATTGCTTAGTTGATTCTGAGAAAGTGCAGTTCCATACTTTATATGTATAGGATGTGAAATGCAGAAGGCCTCTATAATCTGTTACTATGAGTGCAGTCCTGTATGGACTAACTTCAAAGGAAACCTCACTGTATTTAAGGGGCTTACTTCCAGGCAAGTGTGCATAGAATTTCAGCCTATTCTATAAATCCTTCGAAGTAAATGATACTGAACGTATTGGGACTAACTTCTGAGTAAACATGCATAGGATTGAACAGTAAGCCCTTTATTTCAGACTCGATCTGCTTTTTAAAAAAGCAAATGTGTGTTTTTCTCATCTAGGTGGAATTAAAAAGTGGTCCAAATGAATACTTTAATGTGCTTCCTAACAAGAGCCTGGAAAAGGCTTACATAGAGAATGGCAAGAAACTAGGCATGGATTTCATCCAGGATGATAACTTGAATGGGCTCTCAGGTAATAATAGAACGTCTGTGTATTTATACATTTTAGGATGGCTTTCACTTCTGAACACTTAATGCATTTTCTGCCCTTTCATGATATCTTACTGACTTTAGCTCTACATAAAGGGTTTACCTCCTTATTCCTTTTTTAACTGAAAAAACAATTGTAAATACTTAAGATTGCTCTCTTATTGCTAGGTGATATTAAGGTTTTATATGGGGAAATGAACATGGGGTATTCTGCCACTTGGATTGCATACTTGCATTTTTGTCTTGATTAAAAAAATCAAAAGACCAACACAAGCTCAGAAGCTCATGTTTAAAATAATTAAGCTTATGTTTCATTTTGAGGATAATTCCTTTCTTTTGATGTTCTTAGCCTTTGGTCATCCTGAGCAATAATTAAGCTGAACAGGTTATATTAACTGTACTGCAGCAATGTTTCTACCATTTTCAGGAATCTGATTTCATGCTGGAATTCAAGGGCAGTGGTAGAAGATCCTTGCCCTGCCCAGCATTTTTTTCTGGAATTATGCCTTCTTTCCTTTCAGAGTAGGGCTACTTTTCTTCATCAATGTAAGAAATTCCCCAAGTTTTATTAAATAAGACTAAATTATGTTAACCAAGAACTCAGCTGTGCAGTTGCAATTGTTTTTTTTTTTTTTTTTTTTTTTCATTTTGCAGAATCCAGGCTTTTTCTGTTGGGAACTTACCTATTGTACCTGAATTCCACAATATGAAATGATGTTTGCAGATCCACCTTTTATACAGCTTCATTGCTAGTCCCAAGACCTTTCTTTTACACTTCAAAACAGTTTCCCCATTTGTCTCTTATTAATAGGTTATGTATTCCAACCAAATCTTACAATGGTTAAGATGCAGGAAATACAGTTTCCAGTGCAGTTGTTTACCTTCCAGCTTGACTTCTATTGCTTCCAGCTAGACTTTTATTTTGACTGCTTCCCTATTGCTTTCTTCAATTTTTTTAGTTCTTTCAGGGGCAAATTAAAGTCCTGGAAATTATGACATTCTGAACATATTAAACTGAGCAAATATATTTACTTTGGCCCTGTTCTGATTTCAGACTCTCCCCTCCCCCTGAATTTCCATGTTTGGCTGCACTGAATGCATGGCTCTGTCATTAAACATACAGCTTGCTTTTGGTAGCCTGTGTGGTCCATGTAAAAAACTGGGGTATATTGCTTCTGTCTAGGTTCTACTGACTTTGGAAATGTTAGTTTTGTGATTCCTGGGATTCATCCCTATTTCTATATTGGCTCTGATGCACTGAACCATACAGAGGAGTACACAACAGCTGCAGGTTAGTGGTATGTAATGGGCTTGATGAGGGCCAATAAACTGAAGCTCAATCCAGACAAGACAGAGGTCCTGCTGGTAGGTGGTTTGAACTCCTGGGTAGGTGACTTGGATCTTGTCCTGAATGGGGTTGCACTCCCTCTAAAGGACAGGGTCCGCAGCTAGGGAGTGCTCCTCGACCCGGAGCTGACTTTGGAAGCTCAAATGTTGGCGGTGGCGAGGAGCGCTTTCCATCAGCTTCGGCTGATCCATCAGCTGCATCCCTACCTGGAGGACGACTGCCTAGCGACAGTGACGCATGCATTGGTTACTTCCCGGTTGGATTTCTGTAGATGGTGCAAAATAGAGCAGCCAGGTTGCTGACGGGGACTGGGCGTTATTCTCACATAATGCCAATCCTCTACCAGCTTCACTGGCTTCCCATAGAAGTCTGGGCTCAATTCAAGGTGTTGGTAATTACTTATAAAACCCTTAACGGCTTGGTACCCAGATACCTGAAGGAACGCCTGCGGCCATATTTGCCCTCCTGCCCCTTGAGATTGGCAGCAGGGACTCTCCTCCGGGAGCCTTCCATAAGAGACATTAGGAAGCAAAGTACCTGGAGGAGGGCTTTCTCTGTGGTGGCGCCCCATCTGTGGAATGTGCTCCCCAGAGAGGTCCGCCTGGCGCCACCATCATTTGTTTTTTGGCGCCAGGCCAAGACCTTTTTATTCAAACAGTATTTTAATAATCTTTAACATTTATAGTTTTAATTGTGCAGCCAGTGTGTTTCCAAGTTTTAATTGTAATTGTATTTGTTTTATTTATTTGTTGACGTGAGCCATCCTGAGGCTATGTAGCAATGGGGACGGCATATACAAACGTTAAATAAATAAATGTGTGTTTTACTCTGCACCCAGCAAAATTTTGAGAACAGTATAGGAAAAATATGTAAAATTTGTTTAAATTTGCAACCTGTCTGTCTCTCAAAGGACTTAAGGTGAAATATTTGGACATTTTTTCACTTCCTGCACCACTGTACTAACTTTCTCTGCATATGTGTTGCAGTTGTTTCAGTCCCATTTGTTCTTACTTGTGGGTTTAATTTATCCTAGGATCAGAAGATGCTCAGTTCTATGCCCTGCGGACAGCTAAAGCTTTGGCAATGACTGCCTTAGATGTTATTTTCAAGCCAGATCTAATGGAGAAAGCCAAAGAAGACTTCAGAATAGTGAGACTGAAAGAGGAAGTAGACTTGAATAGGTCTGAACACGGAAAAGGATCTGGTCTTGGTATTGGAGCAGCATGTGCATCACGGTGAAAGAATGCAGGAATGTTTATGTGCAAGAAAGTCCAGAACTGCTGCACCTGGTTTCTAGAGAGTATAACTGGAGAGATAAGGACATTATGAGTGATTCAACTAAATAACCTCGGAGTACTTAAAAAAATTTTTTTTTTAATACTAGTATCATGTTACTGTCTCAGTTTGGATGACAGAGCTACATGATTTCTCTGCAGTGATTGAAAATTGCTGAATATCTTAGTTTTGCAAACTTTTGCAAGATGATTTTTGAATTGCTACTATGATGGTTAAAAAGGATAGGTAGGTTGTTATCTCTGCAGCAACTCCTGTGAGAGCTTGTTGCATATTAAGCTTACTACATGCAAAACAAAATGCAGTCAATCAGAATAAGATCATCTGTCAGTCAAATATTAGTGATATCTTCAATCCACATTCCATTTGAATCAATAGTTAAACTTCTGCTGGTTTTAATAGATCTATTGCAGTCTTTTTATTAATAACCAATAGACCAATAGATTAAGTCTTGCAGCAAGTTTATCAGGGCTTAATGTAACTTCTGATTGCCTCAGCTCACACATGCATAAATATTGTGTGTGTATGCTTGTGGAAAAAGAAAGAGAAGGCAACATTTTTGTAAATCACTCCTAATAACAATTACGAAGACTTTGCATGTTGAGTCACAGATTTGCTTGTTGGAATGTTTACATCTTAGTAACACTATCTAGCAGGTACCGGAAGACAATGTTTGGGATTTTTAACTGAAATATTGATTTTTTTCCTGCTGTTCTTGATAATGCTGTAAGGAAAGAAGCAATTTTCTTGTTATCAACCTAAAGCTCTTTTCCTAAATATTGTACTGTGAAAATTTGCATTAAATAGAAATTGCATGCAAATTAATAATACACTGGTGTGAAATTGAATATATATAACTGCACGAAAGTTATACTTACTTTGCCTTTTTAAGAGTTGATAAACTGAAGAAAGAATTGTAATATTACTGTGGTGTATTTTAAATGCCTGATAAGATTTGGCTTCCTTCACTCAGTGAAGCTTAGCTTTTGCAATCACTGTTCTTCTTTTCAGAAGAGGAGGGGAGGCTCAGGAAGGTTGCATCTCTCTATGAAGTAGAGTCAATTTATGATAGTAGGGAACAGGAACCCTTCAGCATCCAAACTGATAACACGAGGGTCTCTTGAAGCTCTTGTTATTTTAGTTGATTGCTTAGTAAAGGCCTTGTAAGCTTTGCTTCTCAAAGTGTTCTTTCCTAATAAAAGAAATCTAAGTAGTTCACTGAGCTTGGATGTTTCTGCTCAAAGCAGCTTGCCATGTAAATTGTTATATGATCAAGATGCCTGGAGGAGAAAAACACATTATATTGATTTGTTTCTTAGTTTCTGGAGAATGCTGAAGATTGCAGCAGGTGGCTTAAAACTGGCAAGAGCTCCTGTTCCTTCCTCATGAGATGCTAAAATTGCAAACTTTAAAGTTACAAGGCTTATTAGTTCTAAATTGTTTTATTTTCTGTATTCTGTGACACAGGGCTGGGTGCTTTGGTATCAACTGCTGGGTATTATGGACAACCAGCGCGATATTCATATCCTTAGTTGATTCCTTAGTAAATATTTGGGAGAAAGATTTGGCAAATTCTTGTGTAGTAGCTCACCGTGGCAACAAGCATAATAACCCCTGCCTGCAACATACCTTCCCAGTCTTCTCTCTCCATCTGAACAAGAAAAGAAATTGAATTTACTGTGAATTTCTGTGAAATATTATGGATAACTTGGCTGTACATTTTGTCCAACAGTTTTCAGACATGTTTTAATAACTTATTTATTTGATCAGGAAATATATACACAAATGCTTGATGGTTATTTGACAGATCAAAAGTCTCAAAACTTGTTATTGTCATGATACAATACCTCTTGTTAAGTCTACATGGACAGGACAATATACCAAGATAAATTAATTCACCAGCAACTCAGTTTGCAATTCACTTTAACATGGATGGTGGATTTCTTTAAAGCTTGAATTGGTCAGGAAAACTAATTATGTTTCCAGCTCTAAGAGCAATTAGATAGATGACCATGAAAGATTTAGCCGCCTTAATAGTGACCCACACTTGGGGAAATTCTGTTCTAATTGATGTCTGCTAAGGCACATCATTACAAGCTTTGAAGCAAGCCCTGTTTAACCTGGCCTCAAATTGTGTTGGGATTATATCAGCCATGATGTTGAGTTTTTGGTGCTGTCTGGTTTTAATCATTCTTGTTTGTTGTGGTTCTTAACTTGTTTTGTCATTTGAATTATTATTACATTGCATTTTCAAAAGTTTTTTTTAGTTTAGGTTTAGGTTTTAGTTGTGTTATATGATGCTTTGGGAGTATAAGCCAGCATATAAATCTTAAATTAGAAAACAAAAGGTCCTGTTTAGACAACTTTAGCAATGTAGATTTTTCTCCATGTGCCATCTCTTTTGAAGGTGCTTCCAACGAGTGTAAAGACTATTTACGTGCAGCGTTAACATGCCAGCAGTCTGCAACTGGAGTTGCCTCTGGTAAGGATGGTAGCAGCTTCACTGAGCATCTACATGCATTACTGGTTTTCACATAGCCATGACATACTGAAATTGAGTGCCAGGGACAATATCAGAGGTGACTGAACCTTGAAAGATAATTTTTCTTTGTAGGACAAGAGAGTTTGGAGATTGAGGAAAGTCTTAGTGATTTTCTTATTAGAAGGAACACATTTGTCCCATTGGTTTATAATCTCAAAATGTATTAGCTAACTGCTTAACCCCTGCCTGAGCTCTTTTTATCAACAGCAAATGCTTTTTTTCCCTGGAGAAAATGGTACCAGAACTCTTTTATTATGTTTCCTTGGGAATAGATGGTAATTAAATTGGTATAAAGAATATTTAAAAAGTGGACAATCGTAATGTGTGTTGTTGTTAGGTGCTGTCAAATTTTCTTTGACTTAACAGCAACCCTATGAATAAGGCTGTAGCTTACATTACATTACATGAAACACACTCATTTGGCCGGTTATAATATGTTCCAAATCTACACCATGTTTATTGGCTTCATTTACTTGGCTTTGTTCTTTGCTTTGTTGTAACTGTTGCAGAATGCAATCTGTGAAGCAGCCCTGATACTTGGTTGGATCAAACTGATTAAGAAATTCTGATAAAGAACATTGAGACACAAAGCAAAGGTAATCAGCACACAAGATCTTAAGAGAGTCAAAAAGAGATTTATCTGTTTAAAAATCTTTCATATTCTGATGAGAATATAAGTCTAGAGTCAAGTGATGCTTTTTGTGATACTAATTCTTTCAAAATTTTTTCTCAACCAGATAGTCTGGAGAACACAAATTATTTGTGTCTCATTCAATCAAAGTCTTCTAGACAGATTTCAGACTTCTTTCTCACCAAATGTTAAATGGCAATCTCCAATTTTCTGGCTACTGCTTAAGATCTAGTATTTGAGCCCATTTGGGTGAATTAGCTTCTTTATGTAGTCCCTTTGCAAAAGATACCTTCAGATTTTCAGATATAACCTTTGTGCAGTTGGAGGATTATTTTTTAATTCTTTCTGTGAATGATAATACCTTTGAAGGTTAAAGTTTTTGATGTGTTAATGACATTTTGATAATAAGGTCCATGACATTCCATTCTGATGCTTAATATAAAAGATCTTGCTATTCCAACAATAAGGGTCAGAATTCTAGCCAGCTCACAAAGGTATATTCTAGATATAGCATCTCTTCAGGAAACACTAGAAGTCTGACATGCATAAAAAAGATGGATAGTAGGGCAGTTCTATGCCCTAGGCACACACAAATCAAGATGTATCTATTATAGCTGCTAAGAAATGTGCTTTTATCAAAGTGACATTCCACAGGGATCCAAGGGGGAGATTTATTTTTGCAACAGGGTGATGAGTGGGTAAGCTTATGATGAGCATCTATACAGAGTTCCAGCAAGGGACACCAAATATTCCTTGGAAGTCATCTTGTAAAGCTCGACAATTACAGCAGGCTGAAGTGATTCTGGGAGGTGATTTACACATGAGGGTTGATGAAAGGCCAGACAGCTGTAGTAACAAAAACTGGGTCACTAGCAAAGTCATTTGTATCACATAATATTTGGAAAAACTACATATACAAGAACTTTATTTTATGTTTAGCCAAAAACCAAAACTATGCCCGGCCAAACTATACTGGTCTCACAGAATCTAGGGGATCAATTCTGAGCATCCAGATGGGGATTACTGCAGTGACTGAACATAAGCCAATTGCAATGGGTCTTTACCTAATGAAGGAGCATAACCATTCACATGCTGTTTTAGCTCCAGCCTGCTGGCTCATTAGGAGGTAGTAAAATGACCCAAGAAAGCTCATTTTTCACTCTAGAAACTCACATCAGACTATCTTCTTAATATGGGGTAAGGTTAATATGATGACTTACTTGAGGCTTACATATAGAAGAAGCAAGTACTCTTAAGATGATTGGCAGCCAAGCAAATTTTCTTAACTGGTACAGCTAAATGAAAGGTAGACTTTAAGAGGATGAGGAGCTCCAAAGTATATAAAGCCATACTAGGTAAGAAATATAAAAGCTTTGGAAATAAGTAACACTAATCTCTCTAGATAAAAAATACTATGAGTTTGAAAGCAAACGTTCTAAACTTCTAGCCTGTACACTTAAAAACAACATTGTGAGTATATTAGATGGATCATGGACTTTGCAAAATTTGTCCAATCATGTTATTGAAACATTTGCAGGATTCTGCCTAAGGACCTGTATGCCTCAAAAAAAATGAAAACTCTTCTGCTATGTCAACATTTCTCATCAAGGTGAAACCTAAAGCCCTTGCAACACAGGGATCTATTGAACCAGGCATATAAGAGGAGGAAATTAAAACCATTTTTAAACATGCAGAGCAGAAGATAGGCATGCATGGGTGCACTGAACAGTTTTACAAAGGGGGGAAATCCTGATACTTTACTGGAAAACCTTGTGTAATCTCTAAATCCTGGAAAGAAGCCAGGGTTGTCATGATGCTTAAACCAGGCAGAATCCCTAAGGCTTTGGTATATTGATCCATTCTTCTGTCTGAATCAAGGCACCAAACTTTCCCATTTTCCTAAACAGATTTAATACATTTATATCTGTATTGAAAAAGGCCAAACAAATACGTTCCTAACTCCACCATATATTAAATATAATGCCCAGCTGTACTAAACACAGAGCTCCATCAGCCCTACCTGCCTTGGCTACTTTCAGAGCATTTAACAACATGAAATGGACTTCTCTAAAAGAGGTGCCGGCAAGAATTGCTGCATTTCCTTGCACTTCTATTTTGCAAATGCAGTGGCCAAAACTTAAGGGTTTGGCTCCAGACCATTATTATTAGCCAGGGGCATGAGGCAAGGCTATCACGACTCCTCCATACTATTTAACCTAGGTGGCAAATGATGGGAGGGCAAACCAGAGATTGCAAGTCTGTATGGACAGCATCCTATTTGATCAATATATTTGTAGATGACAGCAGGGATTTTAAAAAACCCTGAATGTCCCTTTCCACCATACAGCAGGATTGCAATCCGCTATTCTAAGTCAGAATTATTTTGCCTTACTACCTTTCTAGAGGAGCACAAGCAGTTACAAAAACTGTCACAGCTGTAGTTGCAACCAAGCTGCTTTAGGTGCTTGGGAGTTACAGTGCTGAAATTCCTTCAGCAGCAGCAGCAGCAGCAAAGGAATTATGTCCTTCCAGTAAGGGAACTGAGGCTAGATCTTCAAACCTGGAACAAACTAAATTTGTTTTGGGCAGAATAGCAGAGCATGGTTCTGCCCAACTTGTTCAAGACATTATCTGTTCCTATTCTGGAATGCTCCATGGAAAGAATGATAAAAACTGATGGAAGCTTTTGCACATGTGGAGAAAGGGGAAAGAATTCACAAACTAGGCCTTACGTAGAAATACAAAAAAGGTTGCTTGGGATTCCAGTATTTAGATCTTAATTATCACCCAGCTCAGATACTTTACTTGAATGTTCTATGAGTCCAAATGGAAGATGCTCACGTAATTCCCTCAATGAGAGGTTTAGTATTAAAGAATGCTGAGCGAGCAGTTACAGGCAATTATTTTACTGCTTTTTGCATTTGGAAACAATGGGCAGAGCATATAGCCCCATATTCCTCTCCCCTGGTCCCTTTTTGTTAGAAACACAAGTATTGCCAATAGCCATGGGAAGTCAAAGAACTAGCAAGAGCATAAGACTCAAAGAGGCAGCTCATCTTGGAGAATGATTGATTAGCAAAGTTTAACGTAGGCTGCCAAGTCTTCAGATTAGACTGTCAGCAGTCTGGCCAGGGTCAAAGACGGGTCTGATGAAACCATGTCAAGGACTCTGATCAGCCTGGAAAGGGTGCTGTAAAATTGACTAAGCTAACTGGGATAGCTTGACCTTTTCTAAAAGAGGTGTTGGCAGCACACCCTTCAGGGCCATCTCAGCCAAACTAAAATAAGCAGTGTTCAAAATGCTATATTGATGGCATTATAGCCTGTTCAAGCTGCACCATATGGGCACCTTACCACTGCTTCAGTGCTGGAGAGGGTATGGAGGTGTAGGAACTCTGTCCCATATGCTGGGAGTTGCCCTAAAGTTCAAACCTCCTGGGCTGCAGTTTCTGGGATTATATCAGATATAATACTATGCATTACTGTCTCTAATACCCTCCCAGCACTCCATAGTGGACAACGTCCAGGGTAATTTATTGCATGGCGAGATACTTCTGTTTTTGTTCATGAATGTCTACTTGGCATTTGTGCAGCACTGGAAAGCAAGTTCTGAATGTTAGAGGCCTTGCTTTGCAAAATATGAACAATCACATTCTCAGATTAACTTGTCACAGTAGAGTGGTGTGAGAGACTGCAAAATATGACCAGTTCACCAAAATCTGGTTTCCATTTAACACTGTCATATAAAAAGGAATAGTGGATCATAAATCTCCGGCAGCCTAACGTCATTCTAGAAAGATTACTAAAGTACTAGAAGACAGAGGCTTTTATAAGGGTTAAGCTCTGGACATACACCATCTTAATGAACATGAAAGAAAGACAAATGGGAACACAGTTTTTGTATGGTTGATCTTTAATATGCTAGATGTTAATGATACTGTATTCACGATAAACCTATGTTTAAGAAGGAAAGTTTTTCTGATATGTCACTAATTCCATTATTGTGCAAATGATGACATATTTTAATAATATTCAGCCCTTTATAGCTTTGTTATCTATCAGTAAGTTCTGCAATGAAGTGATACACCAGGCTGGACAATTGTTTTGCCAAAGAAACCGCATGTCAAGCCTAAAATTTGAGAAAGTGCTACTTCATGCAGACAATAGGAAATAATTCTGGGAGGCTTTACCTCTGCTTGAGTCAGTTAGTACACAGGGATGAGTTCTGCCATTAGTGGCTCTTACACTATTTGCTACAAAGTTGTAGGATTTTAGAATTTTGCTCTAAGAGCAATGATTTTGAAGCTTCTCTAAATAATGGAAATACACAGTTGATAGCAGTTTTTCTTGGATCCAAAGGCATTTTCACAATATTCCTTTTAGTCTGAAAGGTGGGTGCAATGACATACATGCTTTTGAGTGTTTTGGCTCCTGTTGCTCTACAACATCTGTATGCTCTTGAATCTACGTATGAGTACACAGATACCTGTAACACAGCAGGTTGGTAAAAATGAATGTATGAATAGCTTGATGGCGACCGACTTGAAAAAGTGTAGCTAAAGTACATGAATATCTTTCAATATACCTTTTCCCCCCTGAAGGCTTACCTTTGAAATTATCACAAAACATTATACCTTCAGATATTTACCAAAGGTTTGTTTAGGTGTTAAAACAGCTTGTGCCATTTGTACCCAGAATTTTTCATTTGGATAAACAATTGAGCTATACAGCAAGTTACTGGTGTGAAATACTTTTATTAAGCCTCTTTTTGATGAACCACTGCTGATCTGCTCTGATGTTAATTTTGTATACTCTGTTTTACTGGTATGCTACATGCGGCTCTTTGCTGGATTGTAAGAATAAAATCACTGACTTGAATATTATGGAGTATTCTTTATATGTGTGGTAGTAACTCAGTAAATAAACATACACATTAAAATATGGTGAAGGAAGTGAAAACTGCCATTGAATGGGCTATGCCTGCTCTGCTAAAGTTAGTGAACCCTGCTTTGCTCTTGTGATACCTGAGCTGGGAGTGCACCGTATTCCAGTACTGCTAGCAGGCTAATGCAATAACAGATGATAAAAAGATGTAGTGCCATTTCAAAGTTCTCCCAAAGGGCAATTTCTGGTAGGTCATGGGCTCATTTGGTTTCCCTGATCGTGGAAAACACATTCTTGATAATGTCCCAAGGAAAGGCCTTTGGGTGGCAGTGAGCCCCATGGTCTTCTGTTAGAGAAGACAAAATCTGATACAGATGATGAGGAACAAAAGACAGGCTAAGCCTTTATTAGGAGGCCTGAATGAGGTCTAAACAGAATTTGGAAGGGAGGGCAGAGGAGTAAAGCCTCTCCTGGGTCCTGAAGAATATAGCAAATATGTACGAAAAGGAACTTGAGGGAAGGAGGTTGGGGCCAGCCAAGTGTTGCCAGCCAAGTGTTGTGATGGTGTATGTCTTGAGACCCTGCAGCCCCACACAAGCCCTAGGCTCTTTATCACCAGTAAACCACTGAGGTCTGCAGTCTTAACAGCCATGCTGTTTCCTTCCACTATGAGACACAGACTGCTACAGAAGTCCCTTCTCCTTACCAGAAGCAATCAAGATGCCAGTGTAGTTGGGCAATGCTGTTGAAATGCAGCCATGCATGTTTCACGGGGAATAGTGCAAGCCAAGGAGGAAAATGGTGGCCTGGAAATGTTGACTCAAGCTTTGAGAGGAGAGTAATGCTAGCGGCAAATCATAAGGAAGCCCAGGAGAGCTGCAACAGTGTCCCTTTGAGAACAAGAAGGCCTGCAGTCAAGAGTACCTACAGAGTACTAGAGTTGGTACCAAACAAAAGAAACAGTAACTTGGCTTCTTGGATTAACAGGATGCTTCCAGTTCCTTCACAGTCAAGGCTGGCTTGCTGACAGGGCATATACAAAAACCAGGGCTTTTTTTGTCACAGAATGCACCGGAACAGTGTTCCAGCAGCTTTTTTGACGGATTTTTCCAACGGATTTTTCCAAGTGATTTTGAATCGCCCTGTGGGGCATAGCAGGTTGGCGGCAAAAATCCTTAAAATAGTGCATGCGGGCTGCTTGTGTGTCCGCGCTGGTTGTGAGGGCGCTGCTCAGCTTGGGATCGGTCGTGTGGTCGCGCACTGAATGCTTACTACCGGCTGCGACCATTATGTTTATGTGTGTGTAGAGTGACTGGCTGTGTGCAAAAGGTAAATAAGTTCTTTATTTCAAAAAAAGTTGGTGAATTGAAAATCTTTTTTAGTGTAAGTGTGACCCCAAGACGTGAGTTCCGGTACTTTTTTTTTTTTTACAAAAAAAGCACTGACAAAAACTGTTCTTCAAAAAGACTGTCAAGTGGAGGGGTTTATAACAAAAGCAGGCACAGCAAGTACCTCAATGATGCTCACAGATCTTGAGATGTGAATGTTCCAGGTTTGGATAATGTTTCTTGTCAAGCCCTTACATTTAATTTACCTGTGGATTGCTTGCCTAAGTGGTGGCTTCTTGACTACCAAGTCATTTGCATTGATCCAAATGCCCATTGCTTCCTTCCTCACAGGAGGGTAATTCATTTTCAAATGCAAAATACACATGTACAAGCCATCCTAGTTAAGCTTCTCAGTAATATGCTGTGCAGAGGAGCCTTTGGGAATTGAAGAAGGCCAGCTTTGGGCTGAGCTCTTGCTTTAAGCAAATACTTTGAATATAATGTTTCATTTAAATACCAATGATGTCTTTGCCTGGTAAGTGTTCATCATATAAAGAATCTGCCCATTTGGCATTAGAAATACTGCCACCTTAACAGAATATGGAACTACGTGCCCGACCTGAAAAGAATGATGGCTCTATGCTGACAATTCAGAAATGATAGAAGAAATAGTTTCTGTTTTATTGCTACTTTGAGTTACAACTCTGTACATAATTTTGCTTTCTGCGAGATTGAGAGATGTGTTTTATTCTGAATAAATCCTTCTCCCTACTAGTACTGGCATTTTGTCACCAGCAAATGACAAGTACTTATTTAATAAAAGGCTTGGAAACAGCCTACACATTTTCCAGGTTTTTCTCTATAATAATGAGGACTAGAAGCTGTATGACTTCTGCTTTAGGACTCTGTAGCAGCTATTAGGCTGTGTTACAAAGACATATTCTCAGCCTTTGCGAGTGACTGCAGTTATGTAGGTTGCCAGGCCTCGCCATAAACAGGTTGTATAACACTGAAATTCTTTTGGGCTATTAATTTGACGAGTGTAGACACTCAACAGCACTAAATCACAGACAGTTTGTGGCTTGGGAAAGCCAGAAAAAAGGAACCATTTTCAATAAAGTGAAAATAAGCCAATGTGAGGCCTCGGATACCACATGGGGAAAGCTTTCCAGACAGCAGGTACCACTACAGAGAAGGGCCACAAGACAGAAAGCCGTAAGGTGCAGCATGGGCACTGGGGCTTCCCCTGAAGATCATAGTGCATGATGTCGGGGGAAGTGTTCCTTGAGTTACTTTGGTCCTGATTTGTATAGGGCTTTGCTTACTCATACCAACAACATAAACCCAGCTCAGCAGCCATTAAACAGTGTAGCTCCTTTAGCACAGATGTAAACTGTGTGTAGCAAGGCACCCACTCAGTCACCCAGCCACTCCTGATATACACAGGCAGTTTCCCGAGTATCCCTACATAGAAACGGTGCAGTACAAGGCTACCAATGGGTGAATCACAGTGGCCAGGCAATCACTGTCCAGCAGCAGAGGCATTTGCCATACCAGCCACAGAGGTCCCTTGGGCTTCTGGTAGCAGCAATGGAGTCAGGAGCACCTCTGAGCCATGAAGCCATTCCTTTGCAGGAGGGGAACACAGGGACCGCTCGGCCACAGTGCCTGTGTCCCCACTGGGATTCAGCATCTGTCAACTGCTTCCCATCCCGCCCACCACTCCATTCAGGCTCCATTCTAGGCCCTGCATTGACTCTCCTGATTCTGCTGCGACAGGGAAAGGAGAGCTGCACACAGATGAACACCGCCCCCCCATGGCCACACCCAACAGATTCACAGAGATGTTAAATCACACCAAAGACAAGATGGTATGTCGAAGCTCCTTGCAACAGACCACCATAAGGGCAATGCTATTCTCTGGAACCTGCCCTGCAGATGGGAGTGGAGGATGGAGTATCTGTAAGTCCACCATGATCAAGGATATCAAAAGTGAGAGCCAGTGTGGTGTAGTGGTTAAGAATGTGAGGCTGGGACTCAGACGATCTGGGTTCTAGTCCCTGCTCAGCCATGGAGCCAACTGGGTGACTTTGGGCCAGTCACAGACTCTCAGCCCAACCTACCTCACAGGATTGTTGTTGTGGGGATAAGATAGAGGAGGAGAATGATGTAAGCTGCCTTGAGCCCTTTGTAGGAAAAAGGCAGGATATAAATCGAAAAATAAATAAAATAAATAAATAAAAAAAGGTAACAGAGTTTCATTCCCTCTTGTCCTACCCTGATAGATCAGGGTGGCCAGTGCCAATTCTGTCCCACAGCTGAAAACCAAGCTGGAATGGGTTTGGGTGAACAGAATCCTTTGCAAGCAAGCATCTGTACTCGAGCTGCCACCATCCTCTCAAACACACTGCTCAACAAGGGGGTATTCATACTAGCTGGTAGTTATAATAAACCTCCCTGGTTTGTAGGGGGTTTTTCTATACAACCGCCTCCTTAAATGCAGCAGGAGTCATCCGTTCATGCATTGATATGTTCACTCCCTGGTCCTATTGAGTCAAACTCTGTTGGCTAGCTAAAATCAGGTCACAGATCGAGAAGAAATAGCGAGTCAAACTGCTATAGGTGCCTAGTCCACGGCTTCAGGCTGCACGATCCCATGAAATTGGGCAAGATGGATGGATCTGTTACAATAACTACATCAAGATCATTACAAGGGAAAATGATTTCGTCCCCAAAATTGTCGCAGCAGGCCTTTGAGTGTTGCAGGATAGATATTGTTAATCCTTGTACCACCTAGACAAACTCTGCTGGACAGTTGCTCAAAGATACAATGGAGGCTGTGAAATAAGCCTTCTTCTGCACAGCCCTCACTGCTGTAAAGTGTCTTTGGCCAGGGTTCCATCCAGCATTCTTCCACTGGTGTGCCAAACTTTGCCCAGTCTTTTCAATCAGAGACCTCTCCATGAGAACCAGAGAGCAACTGGGCTACACATCATCAAGGAGCAATTCAGGAGCAATTGTGCTGATGGCTCATCTCACCATTCCATGTGCAAGGCTGGGCAACTCATGGGACTCCAGAAGTTTTACCCTACATTTTCCATGATTTGATCATCATTGGCTATGACTGATGGAGTGGGGGCCACAAGTTTCCTACCTTTGCCATTGTAAAACTAGGGTCTTAACAGGATCACAAACTCCAGCTACTGGAAAACCCTCCAAGCATTCAGGAATCATTTGGATTCCATAAGTCTTAAATCATCTTATGCTATTATGAGAGGAGGTCATGAAAGCACATGAGGAACACAAAATGAGTATTCCACAGTATGTGATAGGATTAATCTCAATAATTGACAAGATGAGATGCAATTAAATGAATCATACCCAACAAAACTGATTTTTTTTAAATTGAAAGTAATTTTAATTCGAAGTAATTCAGTCTAAAAGCATCATGAATTATTGTGGAGGGAAGATGAGATTTATATTCTTAAAGGCTGCAATACTAAACACACTAATGGTCCTACCCTATGAGTGTTAGAACAGAAAAAGGTCTACAATTCTCAGAATGTCCCAGCCAGAAGGCAGACTGTTCCTGTCTAAACATACGCAAGATTGCACCTTAATGAACTCAGAGGAAGTTCAAGGAACCTCAAGGAAACATGCATAGGACCAAACTTCACATCTGTCTGATCTGGCACAGACAGGAGTGTAACAAAATGTTCTGTTGTGCTCACTACGAGATGGAATCCTAGAGAACAGAAAACTGCAGAAACTTTAGGGGGCAAAAGGGAACTAGGGAGATAGAATAATGCTCTTTTGAGATTATGCCTTGGATGTTGTTTTGAGAGCAGCATTTAATCAGGCAGGGAAGCTTGCCAAAGGGAGAGATTTGCAATAATTTATTAAATACTCAGCAGCACTCTGCTTTGTCAAAGGTTACTGCTGTCAGCTGAATCAGACCATAAAAGGCAGAAGAATATTTAGACAGTGCTATCTTTAATTTTAAATATTTATGACTGTTCATAATTTCTTGAGGCTGTTTACAATAGCGCTGTCATAAACAGTGTATCCGGACAACAGTAATGCAAAATAAGACTAACACCAAAGACAGCAGGCATATTCAAGCAGTGACATTCAAGCACTTAGGCTGGGAGTGTCCAACACCAATGAAGCCCAGTTATCTACACCTGGAAATGTGAAGGCAGTCCAGGGGCACATTAGCACCCCCCAAAAAAATGCTACTAAGGATGCTATTCACCCCCACCCCAAAGTGCTCCAGTTTTGCTTTTTGGAACATGCTCTGGGTCTCCCAACAAGTGTACATCCCAAAAAGTATTACTGGAACACTTTGCCAAACCCGCTCTGAAGTCACGTGAAAAAAATAGGCTTGGGGGTGTGGGAAGCACCCTTAGGAGCAGTATCTTTTGGCGGGGGGGTGGTGTTGGTGTGCTCCAGGTTGCCCTCATTTTTCCAAGTTTGGACAGCCTAGAGGCAAAGGCTCCAGTACTAAAAAAAAAAAAAAAAAAAAAAAAAACCTTTCAGAGATCAAATTTAAAAAAGTTTTGGCAGGATACCACTTTAATTCCCCTCTTTTCCAGCAGGATTCTTACAATTTCTTGGGGGTGATCTGAAGTTCCTAGGGTCCCTTCAGTTCTCCAAGTTGCTAGCGCCTGGAGGCGCGGAAAAACCGAAGACAAAGCCCGATGGGGTACGTACGCGCATTGACACATGCCAAACAAAGCCCTGCCTCCTGTCACCAGCAACCCGACCCCGTATTTGAGGTTGCCGCCATGCTCAGATGGGGCAGGCAACAACGCCCAGCTTTCCTGACCGTTGGCCATATCAATTAGGGCTGATGTCAGCTGAACCTTGCTTTGCAGCCCTTTCCCTCTCACGCACACCCCTTCGAGGCTTAAGGGAGGCTTCAGCGCAATGCACGATGGCGCGGGTCTTTGGCGCAAGCTTGCACGGCATGCGAGGTGAAATGAACGGGGCGGCCCCGAGAACTACATTTCCCACGATCCCCTTCCAAGACCACCTAGCGGAGGGCACAGACTAACCCGCCGCAGCAGAGCCACGCGCGTCGCTTCAAGATGCGCCGCGCCGCTTATGGTTGGCGAGGGGCGCCAAGCCCGCCCCAGCTCCGCCCCAAGCTGTTTCCGAGGCGAGGATACGAGTCGACGGCAGGGGGTGGCGAGTCGCAGCGGCGAGGAGCGGCGTGCATCGAGGCGTCGTCGGAGCGCCTGGGCGAGCTGAGCCGGCCCTAGCAGGCCACGAGGAGTGGCATGTCCTGCTCACGCCGCCATGACGCGCTTTCCGCCGGCTGCCCCTCGCCGACCCTCGAGCTCTTCTGGTCGGAGGGTTCCCCGTCGGGGCTGGCCAGATGCGACTACGACTACCTGCCCGGCATCGCCACGCCTATGGCATCGCTGAGGTGGGCGCCGGGTCCAGGTCTGAATCCGGACTGAAATGGGTGGAGATAAGAACACCTGCAGTTGCCCAGAGAAGGATTATTAGTGACTGGGCGGTAGTTGGCATAATCCTAGACCCAGGGAAGAATTTTCACGAGTTGATACATTTCCTTCCATTGTGCAAAGAGCCATTCGCCACACCCTGGATCCATTCAGCCCACCGTTCTTGGCGATTTCGAATAAGCCAAGATGGGTAAGAGTCACGAGAGCAGGTTGTAAGGAAATAACTACACGTCATACTACCCTGAAAAAGTGTGCATCGGACAGCTAACCAGATGCTGTACTCCAAGCATCAGTCACGTTGGCGTGAAGCTCAGCAATTTTATCTTTGAAGTGTCTCGCAGAATTATGCTGTGGAAGATACGTTAAACTGTAAACTGCCTGGAAAAGATCTGTAACTTGAGGGTGCAAAGGGAGGCAACGAAGCATACTGCCGTTGCTGCCCTCACAACCACTAGGTAGACTCACGCACAGGAAACTATCCCTTTTTCCATTCATCAGACCTGCTTTGCATTTCTTGGATTTTGGAAACTGGCCTGAATTTCACGTGCAATCATATCAATACTAGGTACTGTGTTGTTGTTATTGCTATGTGGCACATGGGTGATGGGGACTATTAACAAGATGGTGACATTGCCTGCCTTCCCTCCCATCCAGAACTACCAAAACAGATATTACTTTGTAAGTATGGCTAGCAGCCTTGCCTCTCTTACATTTATCCTAGAGTAGGTATAGGGCCCTGGCTTCTCTGTTCCTACTCTAAGAGTTACTTGGCAGGGGCCTGTCAGTCTAAGGATCCGACCTTTAAAGTAATGTTTGCTTTGGTCTTAAGCTGCACAGTCAACCTGATGACTTTAAAAGCAGATCTGTACGGGGGTGGGGGGAGTGTTTAAAAATGGTGAAAGCAGGGGTGATTGAAGGAACAGGGCTGGGGGCTTGGTGCTCAGCTTTCAGTTCCCCATGGGTGCCTGTTCACCAAGTTTATTCTCACTTTAATGGATCTTCCAGTCAGCTACCTTAGGAGAGAGTGGAAGCTTGTTAAATTGCATTGTTATACATATGCTTGAGGCCAACCCTTGCTTAAAGACATGGAGCTTTAGACCATCTTGTGTCCCTTGGCTTTCAATGAGTTGTTGATTGAGGTAAGAGCTGAGCTGATACACAGTTTGTATTTTTGGCTTTGGCCTTGTACCAGATCTTGAGAAGTGGAACTGTGGATGCCGAAAAAAATAGGCATATGGATTTCATGAACTGTGTGCAGCTTAATCACTGAGGTTCTACACATGATTTAAAATTAGAACTTCAGAATCACCTTTCTTTCTCTTAGATCGGTGTTCCAAGAATACCAGCAGAAGAAATGGAGCAGGCAAAGCAGTGCTGATTAAAATGGTCACTTTTGATGACCTGTATGTTGCTTTTATGACTTCCCCATTTCATGAAAGCCAGTCTTGACAGCTTGCTTGCTCTGGCAGTTCGATGGTAAGAAAGCTCTTTTGTGTTTTGTTTGTGTTGTTTTGGCTCTTTTGGATGAAAGTATTTATTTATTTATTTTAAAATATGCTGGTGCTGCCCTTCATCAAAACTGATTCCATGGTGTTTTACAGTATTAAAATAAAAACATGCCTAAGACCACAAATAAGAAATGAGGCCAGTGGGAAAGAGTGCAGTCAAAGACTTACATGTATCAAAATACTTTAAGAGCTTGAATGAATAAAAAGGTTTTTGTGTGATGCCTTTAAAAAAAGCATTGGTTCTTTGCATCATGATCGTGCTAAGTTTATTGTAGCATTTATAATATGATCTCTCTCTGATCTTCATGGGTAACTTATACTAAGGGTAATTTAGCAGACTGAGCCGTGGGTGTGTAGAAAGAGACACTGAGAAAGAAAAATATGTATCCCCCTAGGATATCCAGGCATATGCTAAAATTATTTTTAAGACAGCTGAAGGATTTGGATTGCATTGTTTGCTTGTTCTTTTATTGATTGATTGATTTCTATCTTGCTCCCCTAGCCAAAATGACTCTCAGGGCAGGTTAGACTGTAAGCTTAATTGCCTCTTGCTAGCAGTAGATTTATGAGAGACTACCTTGTCTAGGAGGTGAAGGCAGCCTTTCCTTCACCAAGGTGAAGTGCATGATTCCAGGACCTCCAGCTGATGATCCTTGCTGTACATGCTACTTGTGAAATTAGTGGGCAGCATAGTTCAGCCATGGCGTGTGCCAGGTGCAGTTTGCATAACCACTTGAATGAGCACAGCTTGTCACTTGTCTGAACCTGGGCAGCATGGTTTGTTAAAGATCAAAACAACCCTCAAGTAACCCAGCAACAGCACATTGGTTTCTGAAGGATATTTAACCCTCCAGCAAGTCATGCCAGTTGGGTTCAGGCAACCTGACAAGCCATGCCTGGGCGTGTGATTTTGCAAATCATGTAGGCACGAGGCATGGCTTGAGCAAAGCACCGAGGCTTGTTTCAGCTGAGATGATTATGCTGAAGTGGGTCACAAAATCTTTTGCTCACAAAGTGGAGAGAGTGAGGGGGTGGACTCAAACTCTAAGGGAAAATGTGTTACAGTCTGTTTTCATAAAAATTCACTGCATTAGATGCTGCTGTTCTTGCATAGCACAGTCAGTTTTAAGACAGTAAATAATATAAACTGACTTTTGATCAGTCAGAACCTCAGAACATGGTTGTATGTATGCTTACTCAGAAGTCCCATTGAATTGGGCATAGGGTGACAGACACACAAACAAGTGTGCCTAGGAGTACATACAGCCTTAATCAAATTTATTTATGTATTTGAAACTTTGATATGCCGTCCCTTATGCATGGCATCTCAGGGCAGCATACAATCAGTTAATTGGTTATATGGGAGTTCTGAAAAAGGTCAGCAATTCAATTATCCAGGAAATTCATGACACACGATTCCAGAATTGTCCATATGCTTGGCAGTGTAATACCCTTTATATTGAAAGTAACAACTAAATTCTGGCATTAATTCTATAATCAACTTGGAATGGAAAAATACTAATCATTAGCTATCAATGGCATAACTGAAGTGATCTACTGATGTGTAACTTTGTCATAAAAATAAATGGCTCTTATCATCCAGGCATAATAAATTGGGCTGGAGAAAAGACAAATATTATACCTGCTTACAGAGAGCTGGATGTTTCTCCCTGTACCCTTTATGAAAGGAACTTGTCCATTCTAATAAAGCTTGAAAACTGCTTCAGGACTGCAACTCTGATCACAGGAAACAAAGGAAGGGGCTTTAGTCACCAGAATATTTCATTATGATTTAAGCCCCCATATAGTGCTTTTAGGGTTAGGGTTATGACTGAATTTAAGATAGGAAGTAAACTAAGAGGGGGACTTTCTTGAGGCTGCAGCAGATGTGAACATTCAGCAAATGTTGTCATTGGAGGAATATTTTTCCACCTACAAAAACATAAAAGGGTATCAGTGTTGTACTATTACATTTCAGCCAAAATAATCCCAATAATCATCAAATGATATGTCTGCAGGCATGATCAGGTACTTTTGTGAGATCAAATGGTAGAAAGTCGACTGTATTGGTCAAATACAGCTTTCCTAGCTTTTTTGGCCAGGAAATGCTTTAACGGATTATTCTATGTGTGGTAATAACTTTATATGGTGTAACTATTTATAAAATACTTATTTGACTCACTGAAACATTCTTGGAGGTGATAGAACTAATTGCTTTATTTGATAAAATTTCTCTATGGTTTTGAGAAATCCAAGGTTTTCTTAAAGATCTAGATCATGGATGAGAAACCTCTGGCTTCCATAGGTCCTGCCTCTTCCCCTCCAACCCTGTGCAGGAAATGCCTGCTTTTGCCTCTAACAGCAGTGAAGAGCTGGGATTTCCCTGCTGAGCACTGCAGAAAAACACCCTTCTTCAGCACAGTGCAGGGAAATGCTAATCAGAGATAAGAAAGGCCTTGAAAGCATTTAAATTTTAAATACCTTTAAAAAGCAAGTATTTAAGCCAACTCTGCAAGGAGCTGCAGTGCATATGCCCAAAAATGTCTTGTGTAGTTAACTGATAATACAAGATTTCCAACTGATTACTGATTTTGTGTGAGAAATATTGCTCTCATTTTTGAAATAAAGCAAATAAACATTTCACACAACATTTCTATATTGCTTAAGATTATAAAATGTGTTTGTGCACTTTGAGTTTGAATTAATCAGAAAGATGTAATACATCATTTGAAATTAGTTGTCCTCTGCTCTTTTTAAAATGGTTCCAGGAATTCATTCTTTATATATGCTCTGAATTCAAATGCTCTGAATCATACTGAGGAATTCTCTCAAGCAGCAGGTGATTAACTATTTCTGATGTACCATATGCTTGCTTCTCCAAAAATTAGTGCACTCAAAGCCATTAAACTACAGATTTCTATATGGTATATATTTTGGTAGTTACATTGATCTGAATGTTGGTATAACTTCAGGATCAGAAGTAGCATAACAGTATGTCTTTTATGCAGCTAAAGCATTGGCAATGACCACACTCAATGTTATCTTTAGCCCAGACGTGTTGGAAGTAGTCCAAGAAGATTTTCGACAAGGCAAACTAGAAGAGCAGAAACACTGAAATGTGAAAGCTTTGACCTTGGAGCAGTGAAAGAAGTATGTTCTTCTCTGGCTTTCTCTCTCCAGCCAGGGCTTTGTGAACTCCATGCCAGAATAAATGCAAATGTCTGGTTTTTTTATGCTAAACTCAGAACGCGTTCACCCTGCAAAATACCAGTTTTGATAGCACTCACATCTTTTGCAGTGTAATATCCTCAGTAGCTACAAATTCTGGAAGTCAGAAGGTTTGTACATAGTCTTACACTACTGGTCTCTATGAGTAAATGCAGCATTACACAAAGTTCTCTCTACCAGTTTCTTTGCAATACTTTCCACTTTTCATTTTAGTTGAAGTGTGTCAATGAATTTTGAAGGCACTGGAAGCTGTGTACCAGGAGGTGACTAGATCTAGGAAAATACTTAGTTGCCTTCTAGCTGAATTGCCTTACATGTACTATAAGCCGCCAAGGAAGACCTTGGCAGTTATAGGCGGCCTATAAGTACATGTATAAATAATTAAATATAATACAGAAAGTGTTATGTTTTGTTAAGTTTTAGCAACACAATGAGCCTAGACCAGGGGTGTCCAAACTTTTTGCAAGGAGGGCCAGATTTGGTGAGGTGAAAATGTGTGGGGGCCGACCATTCAGCCTGACATTCTTTGAACCATTAACATTAAATGCAAATGAACTATTTTATGAATGACTAAATAAATAACTGCACTAATGTGAAGGGTGATACTGAGATCTCGACTGCATTATATAGGCCAGGTCTGGCTCAAAAACAGTGGTTTTGATGCGCAAGATGTCACACAGGTGAAAGTCACTTAGTCTTGTCCTCACGCGGTTCTTGTTAATGTTCATAACCGAGGATGTCTTCTCGCACAAGTATGTCGAACCAAACAAGCTCAGCATTTTCTTAGCAAATGTTCGAATCTCTTGGAACCTGTCTTTATCCAGCTGGCGGTAAAAGTTGACAAGAGGGAGCTGTTGGTGCCGACTGCGACACTCGGCGTCACACTGCAGCTCAATGAGCTCCAGCTGCAGGTGGTCTGGAGCGTCATCAGGATCCACAGAGAAAGGAGATGAAAAAAGCGTGATCTCCTTTTCAATAGCTGCAAAATCCCGAAAGCGCCTTTGAAACTCCTCAGCCAGAGATGAGATGTCTGCTTCATACCTCCTTATTTACGCACTCATTGTTCTGTGGAAAACTGGTCATTATTTCCTGCAGCAATGGGAAATGTGTGGTATTGGGCTGCGTTTGTGACAGGTGCCTTTGGAAAAGTAGCAGCTTGGTCCCAAAGGCTTTGATATGTGAATACAGTTGGCTTACCACTGCATTTTGCCCCGAAGGCTCGTGTTCAGCAGGTTCAGATGTCGTGTTATATAAACTAAAAATCCAAAATCAGCCAGCCAAACAGGATCAGATAGCTCTGGCATCGGTTGTCCCTTTTTTGCCAAGAATTGTCTGATTTCCTCCCTAAGAGAGTAGAAGCGCAGCTGTGCAGACCCACAACTGAGCCATTTTACCTCCTTGTGATACACAACATCTCTGTATTCAGCCCAGATGTTGAGTAGAAACTGTTGAAACTGGCGGTGGCACAGGGCTTTGGAGCAAATATAATTAATAGCCTTCATCACCGGTTTCATAACATGATCATATTTCAGATGTTTGGCACAGATAACTTGTTGGTGAATAATACAGTGGAGTTTTATAGCTTTGCCTCCTTCGCTGATTTTGTTAAAGACTAAGGTTGATAATCCACTTCGCTCGCCAGCCATGGCAGGTGCGCCATCCGTAATAATCCCAGTGACTTTATTCCACAGTAGTTTCATGTCATCTATGGCGGAACAAACAGAAACAAATCTGTTCCTCTTGTTTGGTCCTTAAGGCTCTGGAGGTCAAGTAGCTCTTCACTCACATTCATGTCATTGTCCACTCCTCTCAAAAAAAATCAATAACTGAGCGGTGTCAGATGCATCCGTGCTTTCGTCGCAGGCTAACAAAAAAAGTCATATTCCACTCCTTTTACCTCTAACTGTCTCTTAATATCAGATGAAACGTCTTCAATTCTCCATACCACAGTGTTACGAGCCAGGCAAACATTGGCAAACTCTTGCTTCTTCTCAGAACAAATTTTCTCCACCATTTTCATCACGCAGTCTTTAATAAATTCACCCTCAGTAAAAGGTTTGCAGGGCTTGGCAATCAGCGTTGCCACCTCGTAGCTCGCCTTTGTGGCATTTTCATTTGACTCACGGGCTCTTGTGAAAAAGCGCTGCTGTGCCGTTAAAGCAGCTTCCAGTTCCTTCAATTTTTCACCACGTTCGTTCCCAGTTAGCTTGTTGTAGCTAGCATGTTTCGTCTGGTAGTGCCTCTTGATACTGAATTCCTTGAAAACAGCCACAGTCTCTTGGCAAATTAGGCAGACACAGTTGTTTCGTATTTCAGTGAAAAAATACTCCAATTTCCACTTGTCCTGGAAGCGGCGGCCCTCGCTGTCAACTTTCCTTTTTTTAGTTAAAGTCGCCATTTTAGAAATGGGCACACAAGCCTTGTGTCACAAGGGTCACATGGCGAGAGTGCTGACTCAGGTCTACTGCCATCTTCTGGTGAAATATAACCACCAGCCTTGAAGGAGCAGGGGACAGCTGCGGGAACCGCTGTGCGGTGAAGGGAAAAACGCAGGCCGGCGGGGATGAGTGACAGGCTGAGCTGGCGAGGAGAAGAAGCTGCGGGCCGCTCAGAATTTGAAAACGGGCCGCAATTGGCCCCCGGGCCGGACTTTGGACATGCCTGGCCTAGACCAATCGTAGTATTCTACCTGCAAAAATTGTTTGCAAGCTTCCTGTCCCAACGTTTTGACATACAGCATTTAAGCCCAAATACTCCCTCCCGAGCAGCTGGTAACACTCTGGCAGGACATTGAATACCTGGAAGTCACCAAGATCAGAAGCTCCCTTCTAAACCACCTGAGGTTATAGTTCAGATTCCCAGTGCTCCTACCTCTGAGCTGAGAATTGGAGCTCTGACCCTTCTGCTAGGCAGCCTGCACCACAAATACTGCGCTGGGTGCTTGCCAAGCACAGGAATTTGATCTCAGAAGGGGAAAGAGGGTGTTCTGGTGAGCAGGAAGGTCAGGAGACTGGAGAGGCCATACTGAAGTTTCTCTAGCCTCCCTTTTGACTCTTATGAAATGCCCCAGCCAGAGGGGAAAATGTCTGATGAACTATGCAGGGCAAGGGGGTGGCAACTGACTCTGCTGTTCTTGCCACTCTGCATGGGATGACCAGTGGCCTCTGAGCTTGGGCGTTTGCAGGAGTGCATCTTTAGAATCTTAACAGCCTATTTGTTTGTAAAGCATAAGTGTGTGCCAACAGTATAACAGTAGGCATTTATTTGGCAACTTAAGATCTTGAAGGGCAAAACACTTCATTTTTGCTCTCACTTCATTTTTTTGCACTTGCATAGAAGAGTACTGAGATAAACCCCAATCTTGCTCCTTTACATAAAACATGTAAAACTATTTTCTTTCTGTGATTTATACTTTAGGGGACTGGATCCCGTTTCTCTGCCTGTTCTACCAGAAGAAAGGAGCAGGGAGGAGATATTTGTCAATCCTACCGTCTCACTGCTTCCCTTGGTGCCATTTCCATTGTTCTGATGGATTCCCCAACCCTCTGCAGGATTTGAGAGGAACAGAGGACTGCCCAAATAGCAGGAAATCAAAGCTCACTGCCACTCCCCTTCTGCCAGAGAGATTCCTCTGCTGCATCAGAAGCCTTCTGCAGATAGATGGCAAATTTTGGATCCTAGTAAAGTATCTTACTTCAAACATTTCTGGACTAAAATCTGACAGTGTATATTTAAACTGGAAGAATTTCTAAGTCTTGCCAGTAGAATGGCCTTACATAAGTACAGCACTGAATCTTTGAAACAGTTTATGAACTCCATAGCATTCCATGTTCAGTGAGAAGAGTTTGCTTTAAGACTGTGTATATTATAATTCAGGGATGGGGACCCTCAGGCATGCAGACCCAATCTAGAGCCCCCCAAAAGACCACATCCCTCCCACCCCAATTATTTTGTTTTCCCTGCTTTTGTGATTGTATGTAACCAGGCCAAAAAAAAGCAAAAAGACATTTACGCACCTGTTTGAGTCTTGATAAAAGTTGTTTACAGTATTTAGATTTCCAGTCTCACCTATTTACACAAATACTAAAAATGTATAATATTGTATATATTTACAAATGGAAACAAAGTATTAATACAGCCCATTTCTCTAATTAGAATATAGATGCCAAAACTAGCAATTTAAAAATGTAAAACTCAGAGTCTTCTTACTTTCAGAGCCATATGACTGTATTGTTCTGCCTTTAGTAGAGTTTATCTTCCTTTTAAAATAAACAGTCTTGAAACAATATCCTTTATCTTGTGCAGACGTCTCTTTCCTCTGCTCTCTCCCATGATGATTATTTTGGATCCTGATAAAATTACTATTCCAGTCACATCTTCCATCTAAGTCCCAATTAAAATGAATGGGAAAGTGCCTTTTGTGGATTTCATATGTAACATTAATGATGGCCCAAACCAAGGACATTGGAACCATCTGTTTTCTCAAATTGGCTTTATGGAAATGCATTTCATTAAACAGTTAATGCATGAACTACATAAAAACTGGCTAGATGAAAAAAAAAGCTATGAAAAAATGGACCAGTATATCAGATTAAATAAAATATATGCCCCCGGAAATATTATTCTGGAGTACTTGTCAATGGCATGGGTGTCAATCTTCATACTGCTGTATCTTTGGTTTTTCCTCCTGGTTGAATTCCTTTCCGAGCCAAGTGCCAGTTGAACCATCATTCGGTCTTGTTTATCGCCATTTTCAGACATGAACTGTCCCAGTTCATTCACCTCTCCATCGCTGTAACTGCCATCCATCTCCATCATTGGCCTTGGCTGAGGTAGTGCGCAAGTGCAGGGAAGCTGCAGAGGAGAAAGTTAGGCTAAGAACGACCTTAATTGCTGCTTGTCTAGTGCAGAAAGATTGCAAGGCTGCAAAAACTGGTGATGTGACATCTCTTGGATGTAGCAACTCCAAACCCAAACTGGAGTTAGCAGACAGGTACAGTAGTGCAGTGACAAGTATTTTTAACACTCTTGCCTGACCACAAGCCTCAGCAATTTTACTCATGGGAGTTACATTCGGATGAAAGCAATAATCCTCATACTAGACTGTGTGTCTAGAAAAACCATATTTCTGGCTTGTAATTTCCCTAAACTGCCCAGAGAGCTTTGGCTATTGACAGGTATAGAAATGAAATGACATTTAGGACCCTCTGATGTGAAGGTTGGTAGAAACTGGCCTCCCTCTCCTCTCTGTTTGTACAGAGCAGCACTGAATCCAAGTCATCTTCTGCATTTTGTCCAGCTCGCATAGTCTAGCACAAGGGATTAATTTCAAGCGAAAAAATTGCCCTCTTAGATCTTGTTGCCACACTGACTGCAGCATTGCATCAAGACAGAATTGGGAGAAGCCATCTCTCCAGGAACAGAGAACCAGTATAGGCATTTTGTACCATACTGGCTGTCTTCACCCCTCCCCTGCACCACTCAAGGGTCAGCTGCTAGACTGTAAGGACAGGTTGCAGCATGGGCTGCTCCTGCTTTGGGATTCCTGTCACTGTTCCATATCACCCTACGACAGTCAGGCGTCATTCCATGGCTGCTGAGCACATTCAGCCCACATGGGACAGTTCGTGGAGTTTCCTGCCCTTTGTTGGGAACAAGGGTTCCTACAGATTTTTGTACTTCTGCAAAGAGCAGCGACCCACAAAGCCAAATGCTGCCACCTACACCCCCTCCTGAGCATGGATGCTGCAATTTTGACTACATAAACAATGGCACTTGACCATGAACACTAGAAATAAAGAGAACGGGTCAATGTCAACAAATGGCCCACAGGTCACGGGTTGTTTTTTTGCACTCAGCACTACAAATCATCCATCTGGAAGCATCCTCACTGGGCAGATCATGAGTGATGATACAAGGCTTTCAGTCTTCCACAATACAACTTTAGATATGATTCCCCTGCAGCTTGGCACAATGTGGTCTATGCTACCACATTCTTCTGTTGCATTTGTTGATCTAGCCAGTGTAACAGTCCGAATTCAGTTTGATGGGATCTGAAGATGGGTTTTATCATCATCATAATCAACAATAGCTTTCTTCTTATTCCATTTGTATGCTGCCCAATAGCCAAAGGTTTCTGGAGAATTCACAATAATTCACAAAAATTGCAAACTACAGATACAAGATAATAAAACAGTATAATTTTTAACATAGAAAAATGCAAACATTTAAAGAGATAATAATAGTAGTCTAGGCACCTGCTGAGGACAGCTTCCCCATTATAGGCAATTAAATGTCGGGGAGTAGAGGGCAGTCTTAAACTGGTGCTGAAAGATGACAATGTGGCACCAGGCAGGCCATCATTCTACCCTACCCTATTTGCATGTTTCTTTACATTCTCAACAAGCTTAGATATCTCACAGTTAGGATATTTCTTTTGAAGCTAGATGGTCCAGTGTTGGTCCACCAAATGGGGTTAGATTTACCTTGTCTCGCAACTTCCTTTCCTTCCGCTCTTGCACGGTGGTCAGGTAGTTCACTGCTGCGTACTCTAATACCGAGAGGAAGACGAACACGAAGCTGACCCAGAGGTAGATGTCCACAGCTTTGATGTAGGAAACCCGAGGCATGGAGGCGTTGACGCCCGTGATGATGGTCGACATGGTCAGCACAGTTGTGATCCCTGAGGACACAGAATTATCCCTCGGGAGATTCTCTCTTTGGAAACACATCAGTGTCAAGGGAGTATTTTCCAGTAAGAAACTACCTTGTTAGCTTAGTCTAGGTGGGTCCCCTTCTTTGAATGATGAGCCGTCACCTTTCTGTGCTAAGCCTACGGACTGCCTGTGCAGGGGGATGCATGGATGTCTTGGAGGTGGACAATCCTGCCCTTGGGCAAAGGGCTAGACTGCGGTTGCAAGCTTAAGCGCAGCTGCCATGGAAAAAGCCTCACTGAGCACTGTGAGACCTATTTCTGAGTAAACATCCATGGGGCTGCCCCACACAGCTGTTACTTTAAGTACACTTTCTTGGAAGCAAATCTCAGTGAGCTGAGTGGGACCTAATTTGGAAGTGGCACAAATGAGATGGTGCAGCTTTGCCTTTTAATCTTAACCAAGTATAGATGAATTGCCTATTTCTGGTGCACATTGCTGTGCATTCAGTCAGGTTACATATGCCAATATTGAGGTGTGATGACGGAGTAAGAATAAAGAGTCATGAAATATGAAAAGAGTCATTAAAGTGACAATTATTTTCAAACCATATTAGTGATCAGCTGTATTATTGCCACTGAGACATTTGTCTATATCGGTTACTGCAGCTGATCAATAAATATTCATCTACATGGAATAGTATTGCACATGTAATTCAATCACAGTTTTAAATGTGTGCATGGTTATTTCAGTTTTTGAAGCTCCTGGTCTTTAGGTGCCAGATTGGAAAAATATCTCCTCACATCATTTGTATCAGCAAATAGACTCTCTTCTTAGCCAGTCTTGCTTCAATATTTGCCCCAACCTTGTGTCATCCAGTGTGGAGGGATATGAAAGACAGTCTGAGAACTGATGTGGTGGCAATAGACTGCTTGTGTGTGGATGATTCTGTGTCTCAGAACAGAGCTAACCTGTCTGTACTTTTACATTGTGCATAAATCCAGTAAGACAGCTGTCCCCAGTCTGGTGGCATTCAGAGGCATTTAGACTGCAAATCCCAGAATTCCCATCCAGTAGGGCCATTGACTGGGAATTCTGGGTGTTGCAGTCCAAATGTGTCTGGAAGGCAGAAGGTTGGGGAAGGCTGCACTAATATATTCTGACAGCTCCCAAGGACATCTATTCATTGAGTGCTGCAGAACCCAGAGAAGAATACAAACATGTGCATGTAACATTAGTAGCCATTTATGGTGGGTGTGTTGTAGCAGCCAGACACAAAGAATCATTGTTGTCGTCATCATTTATATTATTGTTCATGTTATTGGACTTATATGCCACTTTTCTGCCCACCAAGGCCTCCAAAGCATCGTATAACAAAATCTTAACATATAAATGAATGAATGAATGAATGAATAAATAAATAAATAAATAAGAGAACATGCTTTGAAAAGAGGCTAAATGCAATTTTAAAGACCAAAGACTTGGAAAACAAAAGTTTTGACCACCTGTTCAAAATGTTAAAATATCATTCATCTATTTGCGTAGCACCATCCACTTATGTGGATACTCAGAACCTTCACCTTTCACTAATCCCTACTGCCTTCTAAGAATCCAGTAAATTATCCGGGAATCAGGGAGTAGAAGCCAGTCAAAGATGTCCCAAGGACACATGCCTTTCAGACAGCCTCTTCTGGATCTATACAGCTAAACAAAGGATAGATCCAGCAGTGATGTTTAGGTTTGCTTACCTAAAGGGACTCTTGCAGGCACAGCTCGGCGGTCGATCCAAAAGGACACCCAAGACAGCATCACCATCAGAGTGGCAGGGAAATAGGTCTGGAGCAAGAAGAAGAAGATATGCCGGCGCAAAGTGAAGTTGATATAAAGACGGTTGTACCAGCCTGCCAGAGACAGAGGAGAAAGAAGTCAAGAAAAGTATCATAAAACTATTCTATTCTAAATAAATAATCCAAACAATGTAGATCATGCTAGTGAAAAGAGAGTTTTTCTTCCAAAAAATGTATAGGGGGTCTTGAGTATAGCTTCAAGTATGAAACCTAAGCTTGTTTAGGACTTTAAAAATGCACAAATATGATAACATCTAAGGATACAAAATTGTGCTCTATTTAAGATATCTTAGTTGCATTAACTACCCTGTGCTAGCCTTGGTTTACACTAGCACAACCTCATTAGCACTAATCCCTTGAGGATGCTGGATACTACCCATGAAAGTGGCAACTACATGGTTCCAAATTCTTTGAAGGTTTTACTAGCCATTACTGGAAATAAATTCCTGCATGATCGAATTATATCTTTTTGAAATGACAAGCCATCCAAATCAAAGTTGCAGCACTGAGCACAGGTGAAGACCCACAGTTAAGCCCAGTTTCAGAATTTCGGAGGCATGACCCCACTTCATCTGCTGAGTCTTTGCAAGAAGGAAAATGCCCAGGATGGTCCCATGGTGTCCTCTCTGATAAATCGAAAGCTGGTTTGTCCAAGGAAAACCAATTCCATTGGACATCAGACAAGCACTGTGCCTTGCCTTGGTTCATAACTCACCTGTACTGCTATAGAAGGCAAGTTTGGTGGTGGTGTGAAACTCTTGTATAAGGAACTGGGATAGTGATATCCTCTCGTCTGTTTTCAGAGAATCATTCCCGTTCTTCCAGTACAGCATGAGGTCATCTTCAGTATAAGCATCTGGGAAACCAGGGAGTCAGGGAGGAAGGCCAGCTTATTTATTGGAATGAAGTATGAAGACATTCTGTATACAGCTTTTGACCATTTAGACAATTGTGCTATTTTACTATCAGCCAATATATCTCATATCCCAGTAGGAGGAAAAGGCTTTGTTATTAATTATGGGAAGTGCCTATCAGTATGGCTAGTTTTTCTTATTTAAACAAATAGCTCCTGTTGACATACATAAGGGTCTCCAATAAGGACCAGTGATGGGCATGGAAGAAACTTTTTGTTGCATCTTACCAATATTCCTGATTGCAGCACATTTTTACAATGTTACTTTCAATTTTTACACAATGCTGTAAGATCATGGTAGCCACAAGGGATCAGAAATCAGGGGATGGTCTATTGGTTTCAGACTATTAGCTGCAAGTTATTCAGCATTTAAAAAACAACTCAGCCGAGATACAGATCCCAAAGGATCTCTGTAGGGAGATCGGCAGAGGAGGCCGACTATGCCAAGTGTCCTGTTGCAGTCGGGTTTGCTGAAATTAAAGACTTCCAGCTCTACCGTTAGGAAAAATTATTGTCCAGACCAACCAAAATAACACAAAAGAGAATCCACACATTTGGGTATTCTGGAGCAGTCCACCAGGTTGCGTTGTACAAAAACTAAAAAAGCGGGGGAAGGGAGGGGGCAAAAAATAAAATAAAACATAGGCCAGATGTTGTGGCCTTGATGTCTGTAGACTTCAGAACTGGTGTCAGGATGGAGATTGCAGCTTGAATGAATTAGAGTACAATTTTATGTACTGTATGTTTAGACAGAAAAATGCCCAAGAATTCTCAGCATACCTCAGCCAACAAGGACTGGATGGCTGGCTGGGGAATGTTTGGAACTGTCGGACTTTTTTGTCTTAAACATGAAATGGATTGCACCTGTAGTGCATGTTTAACACAGAAGACAGGTGATGCAGCTCTCAGATTACACCTAGGATTCACTGGGAAAAGAGGAATGAGGGACACCTCTCTCTCTCTCTCTCTCTCTCTCTCTCTCTCTCTCTCTCTCTCTCTCCCCCCCCCTACTGAAAATATAAAGACAGACTGATATGCAGATATGTCTCTTGCCTTCAATTTCAGAACCTTGCCTGAATTTAAATTTGAAATAAACTGAAATTAAAGGTGCTACAAAGAAGAGACTGGGGGCAGAGTTCTTACTGTAGCTTGGAACTTAACATTTCACTAATCGCTTTATAAGCATCCTCCGGATAGTAAGCGTCTCCTACTTACAGAATTCTCCTACCACACAGCTAAGAAAACCATGGAAGTGCCCTCCAAAAAATAGTGTGTGGCCCTATTCTGAAGCCAAATCTGAGGCATCAGTATTTGGTCTTCTGTTCATATGCTTTTACTTACAGCTTTCAATTTCCAGTGAGCATGTCTGTGTGTCAAGAGGAAAACGACTGAAATCCATGTTACACATAGCTGTAACAGTGACCCTACAGATGGAATAAGCATATTTAAATATCTTCCTCATACATAACTGGAAAGGGTTATATTAAAAAAGGAATCGTGCTAGTTTAGTTGCATGCGAAGTTTCTACATTTTATGAACCAGTTTTTCTAAAACAGGGAATATGTTCCTAGGGTGCTTTAAGATGAACAGCTACCAAACTTGTAGCTGTTTTATCCCTACCCTCTGCATTATTTGTGGAAAGAAAAAGAAGGAAGAAGTAGTGGGAAAACATAGGTGAGTTAATAAGCAGAACAAAGCACTGTCTGGGCTCTCCATATACTGCCATGAATGAAGCAAAGTGCTGGTGAAATAGAAGCTTCCAACACATGTGTCCTGATAAGAAATTCCCACTGCAGTGCATCTCTGATGAAGCCTTGTTCTGTGGCAACCTTGGCTCTGTGGGGTTCAAAGGGAAGCTTTACTTTGGGTGCCCACAGAACTGGACTGATAAGTGATTTTGATGGGTGTAAAATATCTTAACGGAGCCAGATATAAAGTTCATTCCTGGGTTATTACCCAGGTTGACACTGGTGGGTGCCTGCCGAGGGCCAGACTACAAGAGGAGGTCCACTGCTGAGCCGCAGCATTATCTGACCCTGCTCCCCCTCCTCTGTTCAGCAGTGACAGGCACAAGGTGACCAGCAGCAGTGGGGCAGATGGGGCCTAGGCCATGGGTTCTCAAACTACGGCCTGTGGGACGCATCCAGCCCGCCATGCCCATCTATCCGGCCCGCACTGCCGTTCAGAGGCGGTGGCTTGCTTGCTCGAGATGGTTTTGGACTCGCTGGGAGATCTCCGAGTGAGCGAGCCACTGCCCCGCGCAACCGATGCCACCTACCGCGCGCCCGGCAGCACCTTACTGGCCCGCGCCCCCAGGCACCCCCACCTCTCTGGCCCATGACGGTCACGGCAGCCTTTCAACTGGCCCCCTATTCAAAAAGTTTGAGGACCCCTGGCCCAGACGCTCGACTCGCATCAGCACCACGGACAGCGCATGGCAGGAAGAAGGCTGCTAGAGCCTCGTCTTCAGTGGCTGCACTCCTGCTAGACGCTGACTGCAGTTCTGAAAAGGCCAGTATTTGTTTGCCCGCTTTCATGCTCCTACACGCGGGAGAGACAAGTGTAGCTGCAAGAAAGTCTTCCTCAGAGCCGCGTTATGGAGTAGCTAAGTTTCCACTTGTATGGAGCAAGTGCCAAGTGCTCTCCTGGGCTGGGAAAACCTTTAACCTGCCTGAATCTGAGTCCTCCTTGGGGTTGTGTGACACCTCAGACAAGAGGACATGCAAGTGCCCACATTTTGCCAGAGGGTCCCAGAAAATCTGGCGTCAACATTGTCTCAGTCAACATTGTCTCAGTTTACCTGTCTGTACAGTTTAATAATATTATGTTCTGAACTTGGGCACAAAATGAATTTGATACATATTTATTTTCTAATTTGACATTCTTGCTATACTTTGTGGTATTTGTGATGCATAAATGATTACAGCAGATAGTAATGAAGTTAAAAAGTATTCAGGGTCAGCATACTAAAAGCTAAATCAAAGAACATGATGAATTCCACTTTACCTCAGGCTGTAAAGTACTTTCCCATCTGGCTGGACCCGAAGCATGACATTGTCTGTAGTAGTGTCATGAATAAAGGACCGTTTGGAATGTACAAAGAACATGTCAGGTACCCAGATCTTCTTCACTAGCCTGCCATCAAAGGTCATACTTTGGTTATTGGTACTTGGAAATGATAGTCTTTCATCTTTCCAGTAATGCCTTAGATAGAGTGTCATGGTGAAGTCCTGACATAAATCAGAAATTGGGAAAGGGAAAAAGTTGTTCACATTACTATTTTTTTTTAATCCCACATAACAAACAAAAACACAAAAACAAAGAAATAACTTCAACATTTAAAAAAAACAACACTAAGTTGTATGTTTGCCAAAATTTAAAGAAGACCAAAGGTAAATGATAATTCTGAATATGTTTGCTTAACCCTACAGCTGAAAAGAAGATGAGAATGACCAGAATTGCTAGGATACATTACATCAATTTCAATATCTATTTAAAAATTATAACTACAAACTTTAACAAATTTGCTCAAATGATTAGGCATAAAAATTGTTGATTTGGTTTAGTGCTGGGCTGCATGCAACCAAGCTTTTCATCCATATTTTGTCTCACAAATCTCTCTCCTAACAAACCAGCTTACGGCAACCTTGTTCACTCATATTCCTGGCAGGGTGGGAGACACCCTTCTGCAGCAAGATCATGGGCTATCAAGATGTGTGTAAATATCAAAGCCACATGGGGAGAGCTACTCTCCTGGCTATTTTTCATTCCATTGTCTCCTTCCTCAATCCTGAAAAAGTTTCTCTTTTGCATAGGCCTGCCCATAACACTGCTTATTCAGAAGATATATAAGAAGCTGCCTCATACCTAGTCAGATCACTGGTCCTCCTAGGGCAGGAGGGTCTACAGCAACTTTCAGTGGCTCAGCCAGGCTCCGTTCCCAGCCTACCTAAAGATGCCAGGGATTCAGCTTGGGACCTGCTACATGCAACATATGAATTCCTCCACCGAGCTCTGCACTGTCAGAAAGAAACCTGGACGTCAAAGCCCAAAGGTATCAAGTAAGATCCAGCTTTCTTGATCGGCTGCTAGGCTTGGTTCAGAAGTTATCTGTGGTATTTTTAGCAAATAGCGGAAGTTTCTTCTTCAATGGGCAGAAATACACAATGAATAAATCTCCATCCTCCTGCTCAGCAAAGCAAGATGCTTCAAAATACCGTGCAGCCCTCTCACAAAGTAATGTATTACCTCATCCCAGCATCTACACTTCCCAAAAATCTGAGTCATCGACCAGGCACTTACCATGTCGACCTCAGAAATACTATCCAAGCTTTCAACTTGTACATCTACTCCAACAGGAATCGCAGGTCCTACAGGAGCATAAGAACACAACACACAACCCGTCAGGACAGAAATGCACAAGATGAGGGTGCATGGAGGAAGAACAGTTTGTAGTGGGGCTCTTCCAGAAAAGGCAAATATGAATGGATTCTCTCTCTCTCTCTCTCTCTCTCTCTCTCTCTCTC